AATACCACTCTCAAAAACCATTTGACTAATTTTGTTGAAAATTCGATTTTGTACAAGTTTCGAGGGTCTTCGTTGCTCATTATTCGGCCCAAAACCTTCTAGATAAGGTCCAATAACGCTAATCGGGAAATTTCCGCGAGGCTTGCTCATTTTTTGGACCGGCGATTTTTTTCTGTATATAAGTTGTATATTTTTTTGGAAAAAACATCATTTTCACTAGCCAACAGTTAAAAAACCATTCCAGCAAATCTGTTGCAAATTCAATTTTGTACAAGTTTGGTGGGTCTTATTTGCAGGTTATTAGGCTCAAATCCCTAACCCAAGCAATATGTCCAGGAAATTTCCACGTGGCTTTCTCTTCATCTATCCAGTGAAGCTGACACAGTGCTTTTTATTGCGATTAGAACCCTCTTAAAGGCCATCAGCATGGGTTGTGCCAACTTCACTGCATTCCGTGAAGCTATTACCGTGGGTTTTCTTGCGATGAAAACTCTCTTAGAGGCCCATCACTGGGGTTGTGTCAGCTTCACTGCATTCTGTAAGCTTTCACGATTGTTTTTATTCGAACCATTCAAAGGGCCTATCACTGTGGGTTTTGTCAGTTTCACTGCACTCCGTAAGGCTATTACGGTGGATTTCATTGGAATCAGAACCCTGTAACAGGCTAATCACCGTGAGTTATTCATTCCGTGAGGCTATCACCGTGTGTTTTATTGCGTTCAGAACTCTCTGATAGGCCTAGCTTTCATAGTGTTCTTGTGGCAATAAAACCCTCGGTGATAGCCTTGCGGAATACAGTAAAGCTCACACAAACCACGGTGTTAGAGTTGTTAGAGGGTTCTGGTGGCAATAAAACCCACGTTGAGCCTCAGGAAACACAGTAAAACTGACACAATCCACGGCGATAGGCCTTATAGAGGGTTCTAGTGGCAATAAAAGCAATGGTGAATGGGTGATAGCCTCGGAAAATACAGTAAAGCTCGCAAAACCCACTGTGATAGGCCTTTTTGAGGGATCAAGTGACAATAAGACCCACAGTGATTACCTCTAGGAATACAGTAAAAGTCACACCGGTGGTGATGGGCCTTTTAGAAATGTCTGGTGGCATAAATTCCCCCGCCTCGTTGAATACATTAAAGCTCACACAGCCCAAGCTGAGGGTACTGATGGTACTAAAACACACGGTAATGGCTTCGGGGAATACAGTTAAGCCCACACGTCCCGCGATGATAGGCCATTGAGAGGGCTCTGGTGGCAATAAAAGTCACGGTTACAGCCTCAGGGAATACAGCTGTCACAACCCACGCCGATAGACTTTAGAGGGTTCTGGTGGGAGTAACACCGAGAAATACAGTAGAGCTCACACAGCCCACGGTTTTAGCTTTGGGGAATACAGTGAAGCTTACACAACCCACGGTGAATGGCCTTTTGGAGGTTTTTGGTTGCAAAAATACCCACAATGATAGCCTCGAGGAATACAGTAAACCTCACACAACACACGGTTATAGGCCCTTTAAAGGGATTTAAAAACCCATTGTGATAGCCTCGGGAAATAGAGTAAAGGTGACACAACCCACGGTGATAGGCCATTTAGAGGGTTCTGGTGATAATGAAACCCACGGCGATAGCCTCGGTGAATACAGTAAAGCTGACACAACCCATGGTGAAAGACCATTTAGAGGGTTCAAGTGGCATTAAAACCCAAGGTGATAGCTTCGGCAAAACAGAAAATCTCACACAACCTACGGTAGTAGGTCTTTTGGAAAGTCTGGGTGACAATTTAACCGACGATGATAGCCTCGGGCTACTCGGGGAATAAGGTAAAGCTAACACAACCAACGGTGAAAGGTTTTTTACAGGGTTTTATAACCCACGGGGATAGCCTCGTGGAATACAGTTAATCTGACACAACCCACTGTGATAGGTTTTTAGAGGGTTCTGATGCCTATAAATCCCACGGTGATACCCTCTAGAAATACAGTAAAGCTCACGCATCACACTGTGATTTGCCTTAAGAAGGTTCTGTAGGCAAAATTACCCACGACGATAACCTCGGAAAATACAGTAGATCTCATACAACCCATGGTAATAGGACTTTTTTATGGTTATTGTGTCAATAAAACCCATGGTGATAGCCTCGGGGAATACAAAAAAGCGGGCCCAAAACCACACGGTTTGATAGACTTAAGGGGGTTTTTTAGGGGGGAAAGAAAAACCCAGGGTGATACCCTGGGGGAAATACTGTAAAGCTCCCCCAAACCCACAGTGGGGGGCATTTTACATTTGTAAAAAAACCCCAGGGGATAGCCTAGGGGGAAAAAAATTAAAGCTCATTCTTCCCAAAAGTGATAGGCCTTTTTAGGGGGTTTTCTTGTGGCAAAAAAAACCACGGTGTTTTGCCCCAAACTAATATTTTCAACTGCCCCAATGGGGGCCATCGGTATTTCTCCATCACAGCTGTACCTTTTAGCTAAAATGATTCAACGCCTTTTTTTTTAACTACAGGGGTATATGCATTTTCACGGTTCTTTAAAAAAAAGGCGGGCCAAAATAAGACCGGTATTTCTGATTCTTTGAGTGAAAATTTTTGCTCCCTGGACGGTGGCCCAAGGGGAATGAAGTTGTCAAACATCTCAACCCAAATGTAAAATTTTTGCTTAAAGCCCTTCTCGGGCCCGCCCAGGGTTCCCAAAAATTAGGGAAAAAAATTGTGTTATTTCCCAAAGGACTTTGTTTTTAAAATTTCAAAAACAGTTTCCCGGGCAGCATTTCCCACGCAGGCCCCTAAATTGGTAGAGGGGACTTTCCCCATTTTTGGCCCAGATATCAAAAAAGCCATCGCGGGGGCCGTTGCACCTGGGGATTATTTGTCGGGCTGGTATCCCTTTAAGTTTTCATTGGTCCAATCGGACATACATGTATTTCGGGTGACATGAATAGAAAAATCGTATGTTACTTTTTGAAATAACGAAACAAGCAGATATTTATATTTAAGAAATAATTTATTTACATAAAAATGATCACAGATTCATTAAAAAGAGAAATGTTTGTAAAAATAAAAATGATATAATAATAAGAACAAAATGAAATGACAACACTATAAAATGATATTAAAGGACTGAAATACTGGACATTGTGCGATACATTAATATTTATAAAATATTTCATAATCACATACTTCGGAGTTGATAAACTTTGTTTTGGTACTCTAGGATTTGGTAATTATTTAAATCCTTTTATGTTATTTACATCAAAATCCATTCTCGACAAATGTATAATGTTTATTTATTTTTTAACCTGCTGAAAATAGCACATATTTATTTTAATTTCGGTTGTTGTCCATAATTTTTTGTCTTTTAAATTCTATTTTTGGGTCCCAAATTTCGGGCTTTTTGCATTTGGTTTTTAAAAGATCAAAACCTCCACTTTGAAATTTAGGAAAAAGGATTAAAAGAAAAGCATTTTCCCCCCAACCTTCCCCCCCGTGTTGTTTCCCTTTTAAATTTAATGAAAAAAAACCCCCTTTTCCCAAAATTGTCCCTAAAAAAATTTATGGGCATTTCTCATTAAAAAAATTTTTAAAAATTTCTAACCAAAATTTATTGGGGGTTAAAACTTTTTTTTGGTTATAAAATTTTAAACTGCACCCCGGGAAGTGAAAATTTGTATAAACAAAAATTGATAAATTTAAATTTTACAAACGCCATCATCGTCTGCTTCTTTGATCATTTCTTCAACTTTCCCCATCGGTAAGTCTCTTTGCCCCTTGTCCCTTATAAATTTTTTTAAAAAATCTTTCTGCACTAAAAACAAACCCGTTTTCCCGTAAATTAACGATAAAAATGTTCAAAAAAAACAGTTCAGGCACTCGTATTCTTAATTTTTTTTTCAAAATGGGGCATGTGGGGAAAGTGGGGAAAACATTTAGGGCACTTTTCTTTTATTTTGAGTTTTTGAAAAAAGGTTTTAAGGGGGATCCAAAATTAAGAATTTCTTTTTGCAAAAAAAATAGCTTTAGAGATATGGAAAAGACTTTCCCGCTTTTTCTGACGGGGGAAACCTAAGATTTTCCTTTTCCCTTTTAAAAATTTCAAGGGACCCAAAAGGGCCCCCAAAGCAGAACCACCAAAAGCTCCTTTAAACCCGCCTGGTCCCGCTTCCCCCAAATTTCCCCGTCGGAATTCAACCAAAAGTGGGAGGGGGAAGTGGTTTGAAAAATCAATGACCCTTTTAAAAAACTCCCCCCCGCTGCCCCCCATTTTAAGGCTTTAATCCCCTTTAGGCTATTCATTTAATGTGTGAATGAAAAATTTTAAAATATTGTAAAAATTTAAAAGGGTTATCTAAATAACTCAAAATTTTTTAAAATCAAAAGCCTTTATTTTACAGGGAAAAACGTTTTTTTACAATGTAATTTAAAGTAATTGACATCTGGGACAAAAGTATTGAACGTGACAAGAGCTCAAGATTTGCCCCCCCCAGTAGGGCGCACGTGCCCCGGGATTTTTTTTTTGTTTAGTTGAAAATAGGGTAAAAAACCCCCATAAATAAAAAGAAAAAAGAGGCCAAACTGAATGTTTAAAATTTTTAAAAGTATTTTTTATTTTAATTTTCAACCCCACCAAAATGTAATTAAAAAGTTTAGGCCAAAAATTTTTTAGAGAAAATCCGTAATATTTAAGGTGGTGTAAATTTATGCCAATGTATAATGCGTTCATTCTATTTTCCTGTTGAAATTTAAAAGATAATACTTTGATGAAATATCTTAATTATATTCAACATTTTTTATCGAAAAGCAAACTTTTATTTTCAAAAGGTTATAGATACTAGTATACATTTTCGTTTAATATTTTTATAACTGTTTCATCTTTATAACAGAAAGGCTTCCACCGACCGACCGACCGACCGCCCGCCCTGCACCCCCCCCCCCCAAAAAAAAAAAACAAAAAAAAAACAAAAAACAAAAAACACAACAAAAACACAAAAAATACAACGCAAAATCTCAATGTCGTCTGCTTACTTACCCTCTTTATCAAATACCCTGAACGCTTGTAAAAGTTGATCGTCTGGTTCCGGAACTGTTAGACGTTTTGCCATTATGTTTAGATATGCGTCAAAATCTGTCTGTACTTGACCTATAAAATAAAAACCCAACAATTTTACAAGGAAGAATAGTAAATGTGATAAAATTGTCAAGTGTTCGTGTTTTTTTTGAGTTATCAATCTACATGAAACAATAATCGTCTTGACATAGCATGCTCCACGCTGCGTTGTGCCACAGATATACATACATTCAACTCCATGGTTGTGCATTATAAAAAATCAAAGGAAAAAAAATCGTATTTCGGCCTCTATCTTTCATAACAAATATGTAAACAAGACTGTCATTATAGCTATTAATCGCTCACCGGAATACACATTCAAGTTGCTTAAATGAATCATTTTGTACAGATTTTGGTGCGTTTATTCGTTTGACACAAAAAGCGCTCTTTAATACATATTCTTAAATTTTAAATTAAACACGACCTACGAACAAAAAAGTTTTTGTTTGAATATTGTTATTTGTTTAACAGTGATTATGACTGTCAGTTTTACGTTTGGCAATAAAGTATGATTAAATTCAAATTCTGCTTACCCTCTTCGCCGTCTGGTTTCTTGACTAGCTCTTGAATCTCACTCTCTGTTGGATGCTGGGCCATGGCTCTCATGGCTTCACCAAGCTCTCGTGCCGTGAGATATCCATCATTGTCACGGTCAAACAATTTAAATGTCTCCTCTAACTCTGTAATGGCAATTTTATATATTCAACATATTCATTGTCCGTCAAATTTTGTAAACTGTCTAGAAGAAAGGATAAATATGGAAATTAAAACTTACATTCCATAATAATATAACAAAATAAAATGTTATAATATTCAAACACGGGTAGTATTGTTAACTGGAAAACATTTAGTTACTGAACGCGGACACTGATAGTTTTAAAAAAATATTTGAACAGAATTTTTTTACTTTAACACCATAATAAATAAAAAAGAAATTACAAATGTATCATTAATGGATGACAATGTCTTATGAAAACTCCCTAGACCTGATATATAACAACCCGTAGCCATTGTATCCGGTTGGAGACAAAGCGGCCAGCACAATCTGTTGGTAGCTCATTTTTTTATTCTTTATTTTATTTTTTTTATTATTTTTTGTTGTTTTTTTTTTAATTTTTTTATTATTACTGTTTTGTTTTTTTCCATTGAATTGCCTTAAACTTTGAATGTACTGTTTTAAATTCAAAGCAGGGCGAATCCATTATTCAAATTCAGGAGGTTAAAGTTTAAAGTTAAAGGTTAACTAATAGTATAACCATACCTGCTCTCTCCTCGTCGGTGATTGCCTCTACTGCCGTCTGAAATATTACAAACAGAATTGTATGTACATTGCCTATACTCGTTTACTCATATTAAGATAAAGATCATGAGTCCACATTACAATATTAGTAATATGGTTATGTTATGTTATAACATATGTAATTTTCTCTAAACTGTTACCTCTGGTATAAAGATACCCTCCCATACTAGCATTGTCTCCCGAAAGTGATAATTCAAACTGATAATGTTTTATTAGAAAAAGATATGAAATGCTAAATAACTATGAATTTGATTTTAAATTGTATGTATTTTCATCGGTAATGCTTACAAATGCATAACATTTATTTTTATATTTGAAAAGCATTTCAAAGGCTTGCAATGTTTGTTCTAAAAATGATTAACATTGTTACAGTAATAACTGTATAATCAGGACCCCCTTAGGACCAGTCAAATTATCAGAAATTATAAAATAACCAAGTAACAAATTTACAAAAATGTAATCTTTTTAAATAGATAAATAGAATCCATATTGGAATAATGTATAAATGAGCCACTGTACGACAAAAACCAACCATACTGGCGTTGCGACCAGCAGGATACATCAGACTACAATGTTTTTAGAATGACTGCATACCTGCGCATCTTGATTTCTATGTTGTATTCCATCGGTTGGCTTACAAACCACTAAACAATTGAGAAAACTGATAGGCGACAGCAATGGTCTGATCAGACTGCGCGGATGCGCAGGCTGGTCTGGATCCATGCTGGTCGCAAACCCATTATGTTGGTTTTGTCGTGACGCGGCTCAAATGTCATAATCCGATGGCTTTAATAAAATAGCATGATATTGTTGTAATAACATAGATTGTACAATAAGCCAAACTTCATATCAAATTATAGCATTTATAGATATGCAAAACATACATAAGAAGCACAATTCAAATAGAATAATAATATCTGTCATATGTTGCGGTTCGGACCGGAATATCCGTCCCGAGGGGACTCGCCCATTGGGCGGTAACGAGGCTTGTCGAGTTACCGAATCGCAAACATATGTCAGATATTTTTTCTTGTATATTCTGCTGTATTATTTCATATTTAAAATAGTTTACCTCAACATGATAAATGTTCATGGAAATTAATGCCATTTCCTCGATAATTATTTTCTTACAATAGCATAATTATAAACTTACAACATGAATAACAACGGCGAAATGACGTCATCCTAAGCACATAATTCCCTTCTAAAACGACGTCATTTTAACGCGGTTCATCCATAAAGCGCGCTAAAATGACGTTGTTGTTTGGCACGCGACTAATCTGGCACCCCCCATGCCAGATGAAATTTCCGGCATGGGTAAAATTAACGGAAACGCCAGTCTGCTATGCAAGAATAAGGAATATCAACAAGTTTAATTCAATAAGAAATATTTCTTCATGATTTCTTAATAAGAAAATGTTAACATATTCTATTAATGGCTAAAATGCACTGTCTAAATGTATCGACTTAATGCATATGATCTTGATTCAAATTAGAGAAAAATGTAAACGAAACAACCAAAAAATCTGCACAATCATTTATTGTTTCTATGTCAGGCTACTATATATTTTATATACGGTTGTGAAATATGGGGATTCAAAATATCAATACATTTATAGGATGTTCGATAAAATGATAAAATGAGCCGCGTCACGACAAAACCAACATAGTGGGTTTGCGACCAGCATGGATCCAGACCAGCCTGCGCATCGGCGCAGTCTGATCAGGATCCATGCTGTTCGCTTACAAACCCTATAACAAGTAGAGAAACTGATAGCGAACAGTATGGATCCTGATCAGACTGCGCGGATGCGGAGGCTGGTCTGGATTCATGCTGGTCGCAAAACCACTATGTTGGTTTTGTCATGACACGGCTCAAATGTAGTAACAGCATTTTGTATGCTTAAAGTCCAATATGCATTCTATAAAAAGAATATATTTGTATAGTTTTACGTTAGGATAATGCATTTGTATAGTTTAACATTAGGATAGTGCATTTGTATAGTTTTACGTTAGGATAAAAACTAGTATAATGAATTATACATCGGCGAGAACATGTTCATATATACATAAAGTAAAAAAAACAACACTTTTTCTACTATTCAGATTAAAACTTGGGTAAATTGTTTAAGTGTTACAAAAACATATTTTATCAAGATAATTGTGTTTTAGATACATGTTTTTAAGTTTCCTATCTAATCAGTATCGATAGATTTGTCTACAATTTAAGCTAGGACTTATCAACGAATTTATGCAAGCTTGTACAGTGCACATTGATAAAACTAGTGCATAATTATATAATGTCTGAAGCGGTGAAGTAATCTTTTGCTTTTAAGCCTAAATATTACATAAGATAAAATCATATTGCAAAACCATAGGGTAGCTTTAACTTAACTGCGTATATTCGCTCATTGTTGTATTGTTGTTATTTTTTGGGGGCTGGCTATAATGAAAAAAATCCGATCGGGCATTACTTCAACTCAAGACTAATGGTAAATATTGCAACTCAAATAAAAAAATAAATATATCTGGGAACTGTAAGTGTACGTGTCACAAAGTACAGACTGTAGCTTTTGACTATTTAGCCTCAATGAAACCTGTTCTGTTCTGTTTAACTGATTATTGACATTTCTGTAAAAATATTTACATTTGTAATCTTACTTAAATCCTGTAGGAATGCCGTTACATATTATATACAGTAAATTTCAAAACTTGTATTGTATTATCACGATTAACTTAAGATAGTTTCACACTTGAATGTCAAGTTAAGATAAATAGACTAACCCTTCAGAAAACAAAAGATATCAGCGCAAATATAGTGCTCAAAACATCAGCCTTTTGTAGTTTGAAATTTCCAATTCGTCAACTTTTTTAATTATACAATATTCTAATTACTCAGTCTTATTTCTTTTGTAAGATTTTAACTTTAAAAAAAAAAGTATATTTGCACCTTATTTTTGCTTTCAAATGGCTTTACATTTTTTTCCGAAACAAACAATAGTTTTTGCTAAAGCACACAAAACGAAATTGCCGAATATAAACATATTCATAAATTCTAAATTAATTAAAATGTTAAGTTCAGCTTAAGCCAGTGTTTTGGGGTGGAGGCGTTGACAGTAGCTTGTATTTACCACTATTGTTTATTTTTTCCGTGAATGTGTCCATTTTATATATTCCAACACTATAAAACTTTTGATTGTTTAAAATAACTAAAGATTAACAAATGCTAAACCTTGGCAATAAGACTTATCAATAAGCCTTGTACATGTAACTATATAATAACAATGTGAAGAAAAAAACACAATACTTTACCATAAATATTTAAGTTTTTTAAGGGGCTTGGTGTACCTGAACTTGTTAATAAGATGTTTGCCATGTTGGATTTAATAGAAGCAATTTGTATGTTTGACAGTTAAAAAACGAAGTTATGCCAAATTACTTATTTCTAACTATTATAAGCTTCTCAAAATCTATTTCCGCTTGATGGCAGCAAGTATTTATATATAGTAATATATAATTTAAAATGTAAAAAAGTAAGAAGAAAAAAATACATTACGTCAAACCAATTTGTTCAACATTAATTTGCTTAATATATGTGATTGCTAAAAACATATATGCGCCATATAATACATAGCAGTTTGTGACAGAATATATACGAAATTTCAACTTTTTGAGTTTCAAAAATTATTCAAAAATTTTACCTTCGTCATAATAAAGAATATTCCTTGATTTCACATTAACTCCAGCTTTGAAGAATTATAACAAAACTCTAATAATTTCCCTTAACACTATATGACCGACACAATATATCCAATACTTTTATAACAAGTGATCTATATAAAAGATTATGGATAAAAAGCTCTAATCATCAATGTAAACTAGCCAAAAAGGTCCCATACTTGACTGTTTATTTTAACGATTAGCCTGTATTCCATCAACATAGGAATTTGTCAAAGTCTGCCACTTAACTTTAAAGGTAGTGCTCGAAAATTTCTTAATATGACATTTTTATGATCATTATCTGTTTTGGATTTTTTTCTTCTTTCGATAATAAATTAAAAAAAGAAGAATACAGTCAATGTCAAATGACATTTTAAGTTAACTTTCTTTAAATGAATTTTAGTTTTTAAAGAAATAAAATAATTTTTGATTTTAGTCTTTCATAATTTCTTCGTTTTTTCAATTACACAATCAGTATGTTTTTCTTTGGTCAATGATTTTAAAATGAAAAAAAAGTTAACCATTAAAGGTAGTGGTCGAGAGTTTCGTCAAGTGACATTTACCTTAATATCATATTATAATATGTGTTTTTCTTCATTTGTTAAATACTTCTAAAGTAAAAAAGATGCAAACACATACACGGACCTGTTACTAGTCGCTTAAATATACACGAGAAAGAAAAAAGTGCCCCTCGATTATGATGTTACTTGGTCTAATTAATAAAAAAGTTCATATAAAAATTTATCTATTTCGTTCAGATTATTACACTCGAAAAAAATGCTTATTGATGGATCTGATCATAAGTATTTCACTTTCTTATTGTAAAGATAAAAAATCAACAAGCAAAATATATCGAATTTTAACAAATTTAAATGGATGCATGTATCTAAAAGAGTTCTGAGATTCGCTTTAATGGTATTAGCCTCGTTATCAATCATTTGATTCATCAAATATTGAGTAGTCATTTTATATGGATGAGGAGAAATCTTTTAAAAGAACATTTATGTCACCGTACCCCTCCTGTTTCCCGACCCCATCCCCCCTGCGCCCCCCCCCCACACACACACACGTGCGCGCTCACTTAGAGACACTTTTTGAAAATGTACATATATAAAGACAATAACAGATTCCACGTGATTACACATATCAATCATTATAAAACGTTACAAAATACATTCTATCTAACATATTCTAACACTTGCAGTTTAAAAACAGCTAAAAGCAGATCTAAATAAAAGAGCAAAGGGCTTAAAAACAAATCAAGCGCTACATGACTTTAAAGGAAATAAAAAAAGCTGAATATATACTGAATACTTTTCTGTCGACAAATCTCTGTACAACAAATGAATAAAGAATGAAAAAATACATCTATCAAATCTTTAAAATATAACTCACTTTTGGCATTCTGATTTATTTGATATCCACTTATTTTTTTTCTTATTTTAATTCCAACTGTTCCGTAATTGCACGCAGTACGGTGTCTTTTTTCTTTTTTCCAAACGTTGCTTCGCGTATAACTAAATTAATTGTGCTTTAATATTTCCGTATTACGCCTTAAAATCACCGTATATTTACAATAAAGAGTGGATTTTAGTGTCAAATACGTGTGATATAAAAATATTATCATACTATCCATTTTACCTTTGATTGATTCAATAGGTAGATTAAATCCTGGACAAGTCAAGACTGGGAGATGGTTTTTAATTATTTAGTTATCACTTGTGACGAATTTGCTCTTTTGTTGGCTAAATCGGATTGAAAATTACATTGTTGATATGGTAAAAACAACGACAATAGTATCGACATCAAATACCTAATACCGGTAATATGCGCTTAAAATTCATTTGATTTTTGCATGTTTAAAGGACACGTTTGATTAAAACCGTTTTTCTTTTTCTTTTAGAACCTACCATAAAACACACATTTTTAATTAAATCCAGTTTGTTGGTCTGACCTGCGTTCTTTTAATGCCTGGGACTATATATACTCTTCGACTGTTAAAATCTTAAATTTAGATACTGTTTTTCTGGAAAAAATATAAACTAAACAGAATATACTTTTCACTCTGCCTACGTTGAATCTATTAACTAAGATTATACTTAAACTTTGCACAAAGGCAACAACCGAAAACAAATAACTCGGTTTAGAATGAAACAATGTCTGGAAAAGGGAACTAAGGCATTTTATACAAGAAAACGCCACAACTTATAAAAGCACTGGGTACGGTATAATACAAAACAGGTTTGCTTTTTTTTCTATCCGCTAATTATATTTATATCTATTAATTATATTGATATGTTTGAACTGCATGTGATTCACTAAATTCAACTAATTAAAACAGTTTTTTTGCTTATTAATTTGTTCATGTTCAAAACTTTTTCAGCAAACACTTCTTTTTGATGCAATAATGAGTACACTATCAATTAAAATGAACATATAAACCACTTCTAACAAGAACAAAAATTAAGACTGTATTGTATTATTATTATTATTATTATTATTATTATTATTCTATCTTCTCTTGCGAATTGTTACTGCGAACTGGCCCATAAAATCCTGACATGATCATAATAAGTATGATGCTCCGAAACAAAAACAAAAATTATTCAACTGATCTGAGAGTACCTTTAACTATAAGAAGAACCCCCCTGTTGGTATCTTCCACCATTAAGCTGTTCAAATCTATATTCACTGACCTTAAGTCGGACCCAAGTGGCGAGATTTGATTGATTGCCGAGTGTTTTATCAATAATTTCATCTAATATCATAAAAGGACAACCATTGATAACGAATCTTTCACAACTATTGATAACGGATCTATTAGGTTTCCAGTGATTGTACAGTCAAACTTTCTGTTATGACGGATACAGACAAACCCCTGTAATTATGGGTACAGCCAATCCTTCTTTGATGACGGGTACAGGCACACCTTCTCTTACGACGTATATTTGGAAACGAAAATACAATCTTTATCAATAGATAATACGTTTAACAATAATTACTTTCATTGGAAAACAACTACGTTTGATTGTGTGCGATAGGAAACCTAGATATGTGCGTTCATTTTATTTCTATACCTAAATATTGTTCTACATGCCTATGTTTATGGTAAATATGCACTTACAATTTACACATAAAAAATATATAGAGGATATTAAATGAGTAATGGTTCAATACTGAATTTATTGAAAGAGATTAATAAAATGATGTTCTGCAAACCACTGTTTTGTAGTTAACGAGTTCAATAAATTTAGTAATGAAGCTACACGAATGCACTATTCTATATTTATATCACATATAAAACGTTTTTTTACGGAGTCGCAAAAACGGCACGGGTATGTGATAAATGTAGTTATAATTATAACACTAAGAATTTATATGTTAATGAATATCATGATGTGTCACAGAGCAGTACTTGACTCGTTTCTCTAAATTAAGTCTAAATTAAATAATAAATAACTAGAAAATAATGGACTTTACAAATTTGACGACTAGGCTTGACGAAATACTCATTTTTGATGACGTCATATGAGTGCTTTATCATCTGTTCAACATCATCAAAATCATCATCATCCTAAACATCAAAATCATTATCTTCAACAAAAACAACAACATATATTTGAATAAGAAACTGCAACTAAAATACATTTTAGCAAATAAAAGCGCATGTTGCAATACATGGATGATTAAAATAATAATAAAATATTTTCTGCAAAAAGCTATACATAATAAATAATAGTTTCTGCATAAAGCGCTGACACCTTACCAATTGGTCTGCGTCTTCAACAGCCTTCTGATTTGGGACCTGAGCCTGGTATATAGTAGATAATTTCAATATAACAACAAATTAGAAATTATGCTTTAAAAACACTTTCCTAAATTTGCTTTTTTGTCCAAAAAGCCTTTGGCAGAAGAACCTGCTAATAGTTTTCGCGCGCGACTTGAACTGTTGATTTGTAAAATTATCTGTATAGATTTTATCCCTGCAAAAAATATTTCTTGCACGATCATCTACCTAAAACATCAGAAATATTTTATTTAATTATCTTAGTCATACCAACACTGTATCTGGACACATTGTGTCTAATGAATAAGATTATAATATTATATTAGATTATTTTGAATGAATATTGTGATTAATAGCCCAACCTGTCACCCCCTACCCCCTTCTCCCTATCCAATAATATTGTAGAGCAAAATTTGCCGCATATATTTGTATTCTGAAATTTCAGAATAATGTCATATAAGTAAAAAATTATGCAATAAGAAAATCAAGAATAATGTCATTTCAAAAAGACCCCTCCTTTTCAATGCATGAAATCATTTCATTTACGCGATCTAGACACGTACATGTATATAGGGAAATATGCATTAAAATATCTTAAATTCAAAAGTTAGTTGTAGGACTACTTCAATATATAATATGAATATCAATATAAAAATGTAAAAATGTTATCAATCAAGAGCTGTGTAGGTTATAAAAACAAAATACACATTAATAGTATTTTAAGTGCCCCTACGTATTGAGCAAATAAAATGACAAAAAGTCTCCGCCATGGACAAACTTTTATAACTCAAAGAATCAAAATGTAAAATAATAAAGATATAAGTGTTCATATATTGCACGGTGGTTAATAAAAAGAAGACATTATGATTCTTTGACCTTAGAATTAAAAAATATTAGATTTTTTGTCAACAAATAAAAGTATTTCTAAGCCAACCTTACAGGCCGTATGGCCAAAGAAATCCAGAATTTGTTGATACATTTGCATTACTGGAAGTATAGCCGAAGAATTTTGAAATATGTTAATACATTTGCATTGCTGGGCGTATGGCCCGAGAATTACGGAATAATTATGTTAACACATCTACATTACTGGACGAAATATGTTGACACATTTGCTTTACTGGACGTATGGCCGAAAAGTTAGGAATATCAATACAAATTTAGCGTGAGAAGGCCTGTGACCGCAGGAATCCAGAACAAGTATTTAGCGTAAGCAGACGTTATTATGCGTTTGGCCAAAGAGTTCTGAAATATGTTAACAAATTAATCGTTAGAGACCTGTGCCATATAAAATGAATTCCGTAAAAGTATGTTCTCAAAACCTAGCTTGTTGACTAGAGCATAAATTTCACAATTTAAGGTATTTTTTCTCCAAATGATTCAAATATCTCGGTGATATTAGTTGTAACATGTGCAAACAAGGAACAGTATGACTGTCTCACTGGTAGAACAGAGCCCCATGACATCCCGTACAGCTATTCAAATATAGAATTAACAAATTAACAGGAAGTCTACCACTAAGCCATCCTCTTCTGTAAAGGTTCCACCACAGAATGTTTTTGGTATTTGGTACCTTAGTACTTAATACAAATGTAAGTTTGAATACAGAAATCAACTCCTGTGTAAATTTAAAAATGTGTTGTGTTTTTATTAAAAAACATATATTGTTTTATTTTTTTTAATACTTAATACATATGAGATTTATCCTGTATATCAAATCTGACGTTTTTCATTTATGTTAAAAGTAAATTAAAATGACTTCATTAAGACGTCATTTGAATTATAACAGAAAGCTTACTTTTAGACGAAACTTAAAATTCAACTTTGACATTTCAAATTTGAAAAGAAGGAATGGGAGCTTGCATGTTTATGTCCCTAGTAAATGCATTTTTGCATATGGAAGAACAAAACATAAGGCGGTATCGGGAGTTCGATAGTCCCATCAAAATATAGTAAATGATATTTAAGCCAAATACTTAAAAACTCTATCAATTACATCTAATTAAATAATTTCTTTTTCTGAACTTCATTAACTTTTAGGGATTACAAGTAGTGAATACAAGTAGTGTAGGCCTATATAGCTCTTGCTACATGGAAACAAATGAACAAAAAAAATCAAAGAAAAAAAATCTTAATAATGTGAACATATATACCGGTAAAGTTTCAGTGCATTGTGAAATGGGACGCTAACAATAATTATAGGCCTACATTTCAATTTTCATTTAAATTCTCAAAATATCAGGTTAAAGTCATGGTCCCGTTTTGAAAACGGGGTGCCTTGTTAATAACATGTCATGTACCGATTGTGTAAATTTAAGGAAAAATAATTGGGTATTGAAGGTAAAACATTTGTCGAGGGATAATGGTTATAATATTTTCTTTTCACAATAGTTTTCACAATAGTTTTTGTCATATTTTTTTTCGTTCTGCGTAGGTCTTTTTTCAAACCATACTTTCAGACAGTGTGAAGTTAATAAATTGCTTTTTTTCAAGGTTTTGTTATTGATCTTAGGGCTGTATAGAGTTAACATATTTTACAGAATGCCCGAATATGAAAATATTCTTATCATTCTTTCAATTAAATCTTTACACCCCTTACTTTGTTTATATGGATTCGTCCTGCTAATGTTTTAAGGAGTTATCAGTATAAAAAAAGACTAAATTATGCAGCCATAAGCACTATAAGTCGGTCAGATTGCATTGATATTCAGGCTGCCCCGACTTAATAGAATAGAACAGTCAATTTTGCAGTGATCATTCACATAGTAGTACATCATGATTTTTTAACTTCTGATTATGTAAAGCTGCCAAAGTTTTCATTCAAGAAAAATAATTTTCTTACCTATTTCAGACTATAGTACTTGTACAGTACCGAGTAGATAAATGAAAACAAAGCAGTTTTTCACTTCCACACAAAATACTAAATCAAAATAATTGTAGACCTACTATAATTTCAGAAATGCAAAAGAAGCTAAAAATGGTTAGACCTTATGGCCAATGGTGAACTTTTTGGGAACTATAACGGGACGTAAAAAAGATTGAACAATTTAATACATGTAGCTGTTATAGTTTTGTTGACAAACATATGTATTTCAAAACAACGAAGATAGGGCGCTCTAATTGATACTCTTTCGTTTCAAAGACGCAACAGTGACCTATAGAATTCAATGTCTGATTGACTTTAAAGAAAAAAGAAAACTATTTTTGTCAGACAATATCACATAATTAGCACACGTTATGACTTGTTGATCCTTTCTTTAGATAAAAATAAAATTGGCATACAGGCAATAATAGTCATGGTAGACCTTGACAAAACAAAACAAAAAAATATTAATAATAATAATTCTAAATTACAAGAAAAATGCGGACAATTTACGCAGTCCTGTCGAATTTATCCGCGAAAAAAAATCACCCAAAAATATACGAAATTGAATATCAATACATTGAGTGTATACTTGTTTGATATATATGAAAATCATTTCTTTAACACCTCGCTTAATCAAACATGTTCGCCGTGATCAAAGTAACTTGAGATGCCCGTTATTGATATCTTTATAAATAGAAACTTTTATTTAAACATTCCACACTATAATTATAGAGAAATATATCTGTGTTAGCCAAGGGACGTAATTAGTGCCGTACTATAGAAATGGTTATTTTATATAATTATATATTTAGATACACTTGTATTGCACAATATTACGTGTTTAAACGACAATGATTAATTATGCCTGACCAAATACTGGCACTCGAGATCACAAGTTTGATGAAAACTTCAAAAAGAACGAAACAGTAGCATAACCTAGCTAGCTAGACCCGTATCAAAACATATCAAATTTTTAAACTCGCTGAAAAATGAGATTTGCAAATATTATACCCACTGCCAGTTTGAAAGTCGTACTGGATAAATATTTAGTTTAGTAATTAAAAGTTAAAATATTATCATATATACTAATAAATATATTAAACATTTTTTATTGCAAATATATATAGTATTTAAATATTTACATACCATTTCTTTTTTAGAACAGCCTAATCGTTTGATCCACGCATTGATTTATTTTGTAGCTTAATTAATGCACTATTAACAGTGAGAGATTTACTTCAAATCTATACTTCACTTTTTATCTAACCTAATTTCGTCTACGCCTGAATAACCTTATGTAGAACTTAATATTGGCAAGTTCTAAATTGCTGTTCTAATTTGTCGTAAAAGTGTTTACCTTCAGAGTATCAATTTCACATTTTCACGCAGATCGATACATACATGTATTGAAATTGAAAAATATATGCATTTAACTGCCAATTTAGATGTTAAGAAATTAGGTTTTACTGAACGTGACGGTTGAAAACTAAACGCTTGAATTATAGATAGCAAAATCGTTCAATGTTAGGATAAACTATGAGTACAGGCCAATAAAATGGGAAAAAAGCAATACTCAATAAAATATATAAGGCATGATTTAAAGTGGATACATAATGAAAGAAAGTTTAACGGCGGAGTTTTGCTTATAGTTAATTGAATCTATTGGTTTTTGACGTGTTTTTATTAAGCAAAGTAATCCGGGTACAGATCGATTTATTTAACCGTATTTAAGAGCGGAAAATATAACTAGATTAATGAGGGTAAACTTTAAATTACTATAAATACAATTAGGTGTTTTGGTTTTTTAGTGTTTGGTTTAAGTCAAATCGACACATTGAACGTCATATGGCACCTTGTCAGCATAAATCAGTGGGTCTCGAGGGGGCACCTCGAGTAGAAATGCCAAACTACCAAAAGTCTCACAACATGAAAGAATTCAAAGTCACAGGCGGGATTCGAACCAACAGTGGTAAGGACATGTGAATTACAGTCGCTCTAGCTCTATTATAATTAAGAGTTTGCATGAATATTAACTACTAGATCTACTACAAGTATAAATTAAGCTACATCTAATGATTTTTTTAACGTTTCCCTTATTTTATGGTCGATTCACGAAAAAGCTGTAGCATAGAATGTCTCTGTTATTCACCACGTATATGTTAGTGTTTATCCGTGCTGTTCTACAGAAATTAGAAACTTCGACGGGAGCGATAGAGACAGGAGAATGTTTCTAATTTCTGTAGAACAGCTACGGATAAATACTAACATACTTAGTGTCAAGCTTTATTTGGCCTCATTATTATTCACTTAATTACGTCACTACGCGGTTCTATGAAGTACTATGAAAAATAGTAGGCGACTATGAACGGAATTCGATATAGTATCGACTTTTGTTCTTCTATGAAAATTAACACACACAATTTTGAAGAAATACAGCGTTTTCATTGGATGACAAATAAAGCTGGACACTAAACATTATTAGTGTCCAGCTTTATTTGTCATCCAATGAAAACGCTGTATTTCTTCAAAATTCTGTGCGTTAATTTTCATAGAAGAACAAAAGTCGATACTATATCGAATTCCGTTCATAGTCGACTTCTATTTTTCATTGTACTTCATAAAACCGCATGGTGACGTAATAAAGTAATTAATAATGAAGCCAAATAAAGCTTGACACTAAGTATGTTAGTATTCATCCTTAGCAGTTCTATACAGAAATTAGAAACATTCTCCTGTCGCTATCTCTCCCGTCGAATTTTCTAATTTCTTTAGAACAGCTCGGATAAACACTAACATATACATCTAAACCACACTCTTGTCCGTTTTTAACCTGCACTGTATATATTCCTCACTATTTTTACTCTTTCTTTCCGTCTTGCGCATTAACCTGTCAGTAAACTTCAGTCAGTATATTGGAAGAAGAAGAAGAAGAATAACGATTGTGTCTCCTATTTGCCAACGACAAACTTTGTGTTTTGTTGTTATATCTGACACTTAATACAATCAACTTATTTTTTGTATCATAAACCTTACATTATAGACCAATTCACTTTAAGAAAGTTAAAAATTCTGAAAATATATTGCCCTGATAGAATATTTATAGCATAGGGATCCAAACATGATGACAGAAACTTCCGTTGATAGTACATGTATATACACTATTAAAATTTGTTACGACATTCACGGATCTTGCCTTCACCTCTACCGAGAATTAAATTACCTTAAATTACGATTTGTAGCACTTTAATGACTACTTTTTATATTCCAAGGTGCCAGGTGATTTTAACCAGAACTAGGATACATAAATTTCAATCGTCCAGTTTTTGTTGTTGTTTTCGTGTATGTTTTTTTTTTTTTTTTTTGTGTTTTTTTTTTTATAAACAGGTAAGAGTATTTATACGTAACAAATCACCACACAGGTTTTGGTCATTAACATCGTAAAAGGAAGTTTCTGCATAAGTTATTGGTGTGGCATGAGTTTTTAAGAATCTAATGTTATAGCTAGATCCCCAGACCTGAATAGTTCAAAGGAGATAATAACTGAACTAAAGACTGATTATTGCTTTTCACTTAATGCATGATGTAGCATTGCTATTTACTTAATGACTATTGCTATTCAATAAGGGCATGATGGAGTATTGCTATTCACTTAACACGTGACCAAGTATTGCACGGGGGCACCTCGAGTAAAAATGCCAAACTACCAAAAGTCTCACAACATGAAAGAATTCAAAGTCACAGGCGGGATTCGAACCAACAGTGGTAAGGACATGTGAATTACAGTCGCTCTTGCTCTATTATAATTAAGAGTTTGCATGAATATTAACTACTAGATCTACTACAAGTATAAATTAAGCTACATCTAATGATTTTTTTAACGTTTCCCTTATTTTATGGTCGATTCACGAAAAAGCTGTAGCATAGAATGTCTCTGTTATTCACCACGTATATGTTAGTGTTTATCCGTGCTGTTCTACAGAAATTAGAAACTTCAACGGGAGCGATAGAGACAGGAGAATGTTTCTAATTTCTGTAGAACAGCTAAGGATAAATACTAACATACTTAGTGTCAAGCTTTATTTGGCCTCATTATTATTCACTTAATTACGTCACTACGCGGTTCTTATAATGAAGTACTATGAAAATAAGTGGCGACTATGAACGGAATTTGATATAGTATCGACTTTTGTTTTTCTATGAAAATTAACACACACAATTTTGAAGAAATACAGCGTTTTCATTGGATGACAAATAAAAGCTGGACACTAAACATTATTAGTGTCCAGCTTTATTTGTCATCCAATGAAAACGCTGTATTTTTGTGCGTTAATTTTCATAGAAGAACAAAAGTCGCATACTATATCGAATTCCGTTCATAGTCGACTTCTATTTTTCATTGTATAGATTGTCGACTTCTATTTTTCAACCGCATAGTGACGTAATAAAGTAATTAATAATGAAGCCAAATAAAGCTTGACACTAAGTATGTTAGTATTCATCCTTAGCAGTTCTATACAGAAATTAGAAACATTCTCCTGTCGCTATCTCTCCCGTCGAATTTTCTAATTTCTGTAGAACAGCTCGGATAAACACTATCATATACATCTAAACCACACTCTTGTCCGTTTTTATCCTGCACTGTATATATTCCTCACTATTTTTACTCTTTCTTTCCGTCTTGCGCATTAACCTGTCAGTAAACTTCAGTTACTTGAAGGTGGCCAGTATATTGGAAGAAGAAGAAGAAGAAGAATAACGATTGTGTCTCCTATTTGCCAACGACAAACTTTGTGTATCATAGACCTTACATTATAGACCAATTCACTTTAAGAAAGTTAAAAATTCTGAAAATATATTGCACTGATAGAATATTTATAGCATAGGGATTCCGTTGATAGTACATGTATATACACTATTAAAATTTGTCCGACATTCACGGATCTTGCCTTCACCTCTACCGAGAATTAAATTACCTTAAAATACGATTTGTAGCACTTTAATGACTACTTTTTATAGTATACAATTTGTTTCCAAGGTGCCAGGTGATTTTAACCAGAACTAGGATACATAAATTTCAATCGTCCAGTTTTTGTTGTTGTTTTCGTGTATGTTGTTTTTTTTTTGGTGTTTATTTTTTTATAAACAGGTAAGAGTATTTATACGTAACAAATCACCACACAGGTTTTGGTCATTAACATCGTAAAAGGAAGTTTCTGCATAAGTTATTGGTTTGGCATGAGTTTTTAAGAATCTAATGTAATAGCTAGATCCCCAGACCTGAATAGTTCAAAGGAGATAATAACTGAACTAAAGACTGATTATTGATTATTGCTTTTCACTTACTGCATGATGTAGCATTGCTATTTACTCAATGACTATTGCTATTCAATAAGGGCATGATGGAGTATTGCTATTCACTTAACACATGACCAAGTATTGCTATTCACTTAATGCATGGCCAAGTATTGCTGATCACTTAACGCATGACCAAATATTGCTGTTCATTTAATGCATGATCAAGTATTGCTATTCATTAATGCATGACAAAGTATTGCTATTCACTTAACACATGACAAAATATTGCTATGACTTAAGGCATAATCAAGTATTGCTATTCACTTAACGCATGACCACGTAATGCTGTTCACTTAATGCATGGTCAAGTATTGCTGTTCACTTAACGCACCACCAAGTATATCTGTTCACTTAACGCATGACCAAGTATTGCTGTTCACTTAAAACATGACCAAGTATTGCTTCTAATTAATGCATGACCAAATATTGCTGTTCATTTAAAGCATGACAGAATATTGCTATTCACTTAATGCATAATCAAGTATTGCTATTCACTTAATGCATAATCAAGTATTGCTATTTACTTAATGCATGATCAAGTATTGCTATTCACTTAATGCATAATCAAGTATTGCTATTTACTTAATGCATGATCAAGTATTGCTATTCACTTAATGCATAATCAAGTATTGCTATTCACTCAATGCATGATCAAGTATTGATATTCACTTAATGCATGATCAAGTATTGCTATTCACTTAATGCATGATCAAGTATTGCTATTCACTTAATGCATGATCAAGTATTGCTATTCACTTCATGCATGATCAAGTATTGCTATTTACTTAATGCATGATCAAGTATTGCTATTTACTTAATGCATGACCAAGTATTGATGTTCACTTAATGCATAACCAAGTATTGTTATTCACTTAACGCATGACAGAGTATGCCATATTGTTCATGCCTGACCAAGAATTTAAATACTTAACAAATGACCAAACAATTGCTGTATACTTAACAAAAAATAATGTAAAGGGTCTGTTATTACTTCAGTTATACAACAATCCATCATTATCAAAAACAAACAGCACATTTTTTCATTGAGTCAAGTGACCATCACCTGATAAATTAATGGATTTTTAAAAAAACAACAACAAAGACTGTGTAGGTTTAATGTTAATTTATGATAAATGATTTACACAATTGTCAATAAATAAATAATTCAATGAGCAATGAATAAAATGTTTTTAACAAATGAGAATGGATTTAAAATATGATAAAAGATACATTTATGTTCATTGTAGAAACCATCCTATAAACAAGAGCACTGCATGCGGTGTTCACGCTCATCAGTTAAAAATTCTAAAGTAAAAAATGGCATAACTCCAAAAATATTGCTTTTAGAAGTATGCCACATGTCTAACAAAAGCACCTTGTCATGATAAGCAAGTATCCCTAGTTTCATGTTGATACCTTTTGAAATTTTTTCATCACATGCTACATTAGAGTTTTTGCACAATAACGCCAATGCAGTGATCATAATAGCTTGGCTTTTTCTTCAAAACAGATGAGCAAATATAAAAAGTATCTATTAGAATAGCAGTTTTAAACTGACTTACACATATTTTATACTTTTTCATTTAAAAATTGCCACCATACACACTGTGTGCTAAACATAAAGTATATATCACAAATTTATATAAACATAACAAATTTAAGTAGATAAACTTGCAGAAACTTTGAGCTGTAGCAAAATTTTCAAAAACTTAAGTACAACCTCTATTAGCAGGCAAAAATGAATTTACAGTAACATTTAGTACATCATCAATGGTCTTTTCTCAGCAAAAAAAGTAAAAACTCCCTTTAATTTTATAATAGATGACATATAGAGTTGTAATGGGTATGATTTAAATCAAATTGGATTCAAATCTATCACAAATCATTTTCAAGCTATGACTTAAGTGAGCAGGTAGTGCCCTAAAATAGAGTCCTGTTTCATCCATGTTTCATCCATTGAAAACATTAGAATGTACTGTTTAAGTAAAGGACTTACAGATGTTGTTGACTTGTTCAATTCCGCAGAGGATAGACTCGAAAAGGATTCACTGAAAGCTTTAGGGTACTCTAAACAAACAACAATTGACAGATTTTTTAAGTAAGGTGATGTGTCTATGACTCACATGAAATGTATAGTGATATGTAAAAGGACGGATATGAGATAAAAAGAGACTTCTGACTTTCACATGTATAAAATGTATATTTACCATTTTAAATAATGTACCAGTTATGTTGTTTAAATGGTGTTTATGTAAAATTAAAATACATCAAATACCTTTAATTAGTTGTTATACAATATGTCATTTATCTGCCAGTAAAACAGTTTAAAACAGTGACAAACATGTCTGCCTATCATTCCTATGTATTAACCACTGATATTGAAGGTATATGTGCCTTACTGGTGTGTTATAATCTAGGGTCTCAATAAAGAGACCGACTCGATAATAAGACCACTTTTTGCTAGACCCACAAGTGGTCTTAATAGTGGAACTTTACTGTACAATGTACTAAGTTTCAACAAAAGTTTCACCCCAATCTCTCACTTGTGATGGCCTGTTCAAAATACCCCTCCCATACTCAAAATATTCAATGGCAATTGCTAACTGGAAAATCCACTCATTTACTGTTGTCAGCAAATCCAATTTGCACCTCCCAACAACTTTCAATGGTGATGGTAACTTAATGTGCTCCTTGTCACCTGAAGTTTTCAATGATGGTGAAAAACTTAATTCATTTACGTTATCCCTTTAACTAAATTTTCAACGGTGACAACTCATGCTCTGTGCACATTTACACCCTTCCCCTTGCCCCCAGAGCAATTTTCATTGGTGGATCACAAAGAAACTAAACCCTAAATAAGCACCTTTGACAATACTTCTGGCTTTTATATTATTTTATATAAGTAACACTTTGTTAAGTAACACTTTGTTATAACATATCACATGACTTTTGACCGGCCAGCCGACATATTTGTCCTTGATTTGCTTCCACTTCCTTCCCGCCTTTCCATTTTTGGAGGATGAGGGCTCATCATTTCACCATCCAAGGACAAAAGTTCAAGTCTTGAATCTGAAGCATCAAAACTATCCATCCTTGATTCAGAAAAACTGTTAAGCACCATGTTCACGGGTGTATGTACTGAGGAATTGCTACTAGGTCGTCTTTGATTGTTCACACCTTGTGTAACAAGTGTCCCCGAGGGATCTATTTCAGGCAATTTTAATGGCTCCTTTTCTTTAGTATCCCTTCCTGTCCCTAAACTGGACACACTGGCAATACTTGATGCAGATGAAGTCCGTGAAAAGTTACCTAATCCATTTCTAGCACTTACATGACTGGTCTCTGGATTATTTCTATTATTATTTTCACTGACAGATTCAAATGCCTTGTTATCATTACTTTGAGTATCTATACTAGATGTAATGCTTTCAACTGTCTGACTTTCATCCACAGTTTCCATGGAGATCAACTTCCAGACTTCAGATGGTATGGGAGTGGTTTCCTCATCCTCATCTAGAAACAAACAAAATAACTTTGTGTTAACATGATGGCGACAATACTTTTTGAGTTCTAGACAGCAATTAACAATTTCTCAGGGAGCAACTTACATTATAGTAACAATAATTAAAGAATATTATGAAAGTGTTGTTTTAACCCTTAGACAGACACACCCATGTCGTCTGATCAAGGTCTGCACAGTATACTATTCAGTCAGTGTATGTTATGAAATTTACCCTAAAAATCATAGAATGTCTTTTTTTCCAGATTGAAAAACAGATATTTACATTTAAGATATTTTGCAAGTTATGAGTTTAGAAAGTACATTTCAATAAATTTCAATAGCAAAATGTTAAAATTTAGAAGCTTGACAGCACAGATGGGTAAGTTAAATTGCGCTAGCTCTATACTGGTAACATAGGCAAGTTATTATCACAGCCATCATTCTAAAGAGTTACCTAACTTACCTTCATCATCCTCTTCTTTTAGAGTACTAAGATGTTTGGAGAGAGGGTTGTAGGCCTCTGACAGAAGTTTCTGTAACACATCAGGTGGTAGTTTTGGTGGATTATCTAAAATTTCCTGTCTCGCTGACCTTGGAGACCTGTAACAAATAGAAACAGAATCTTTTCAATGGTATATTAAAGCAAAACACTAAATATCAGATTATATTTTCTTTTCAATTGGGTGAGCCAAAATTTATTTAACATTTTAGGTGCCCTTCGATGCATTATTTTAGGCACAAACAGTACCTGAGTAGAACCACTAATGTTCTGTAAGCATGCTGATAGCTTCCACACATGAAAGAATCCAAAGTCCCTGTTGGGATTCTTACCCACAGCCGTAAGGGGCAAGTGGTTTTAAGTCAACATCCCTTTATATTTTTTTTATTTTTCTTGGTAATAAACATTATTTCTATGTAATAAACAGATAATTGGCTGCACTAGAAAGAACAGTTTGTTTTACCTTGGAGTATTGTCTGTTGTTCCATCTATTACATGACTGATTTCAGAAGCTGTGTCTGCAAACGATGTCCTTGACTCTGAGTTCAAGGTCAACCTTGACATTGAGGACATAGAAAGTGATGTCACACATTGTTCAATTAGATCTTTAAGCTGGTCCTCTCCTAGTCTTGGTGTTTCAAGCTTAAATGTAAATATATTCGAATACGTACAATGATCTATATTGTTCAGAAACATTTCAGTTAATACAGACAGATTTTATAAATATTGTTTTCTTTCTGATTCGATCCAGGTTGACAACCTTAAGCCTGCTGACAGCAACAGATTATAGCCAGTGCAGATAAAGCTGGATAATTCATGCCATCTGATCATGGTCTGCACTATTCACTTTCATATTTAAAAACCTTTCGTTTGACCATATTGAAATAAAGGCAAGTCCACTTAAGATATTAAGGATGGTCAAGGTTAAAAGTTCTTTAGCCAATATTATTTCATAAGAGATCCACTGTGGTCAAAAAGTCTAAAAAACATTAAAATTGAAATTTTAATCAAGTGAAGCACATGAAATGGAAATGCAAAAGATGATAAAGAAATGTATTCAGAATTAAATAGAAAATCAATGAATAGTGCAATTCTTAGCCTGGTTAAGTGCAAAGCTCTGCACTGCTTTCCATTTCAGGTCATTTTGCACAAAAAATGTTTATTCCAGAAAAAGGAATGAAGGAATTATCTGATAATTTGCACACAAGTTATTGGTTCAAAACTACATCAAATGGTACACAAATCTCTTTAGGACATTGTAGTTATAGAAGGTTTATACCTGGTAAAAGTTTCTTTCATAATAAAATTTGTTTCCTTCTACTATATACACACACACACTTATATATATTTGGCTTTTGAGTCATCAACATGGTTACGGCCATTTCAGCTTTTCTGATAAGAAGAAGACCTCAGATGCCTTCCATGTAGATTATTTCAAGCAAGAACCACTGGCAGAACTGACAAAATCAGTATTCTTAATTTGCAACCTGCCCTGCTGGAACTGTCAGCATTTTTGGCCAATATAGTGCCAGGCCAGCCTGCACTTCAACTCATTCTGACCACACTCTACTGATAGTGGGCTAATTTCAAATTTTAATTAATTTTCATCACTAAAACTGATAATAAACAGTCACTCAAAATGGAAGCTGGACAAGTCCAATGAAGAAATTCAGCAGGTTAAGGGTTGATTAAAATATAATTCATTGTCTCAGAAACATGAGAAAGAGTTTTAAACTTGCAACGGTGAACAGAAAGTCAATCAAAGTGATAGACCTTAACAATAAAGTTTCTAAAACCACAAAGGACAGACCTTGCCTCATGGTTACAAAACTTTTTTTCTGAGTTATGTCTCAAATCTCAGGATTTTCATTGGTCAGTGGAAATTCTGTGGCAGTTTCTGACCAATCAAATACCTGAGGTCTGAGTTTAAACTAAGAGTTATCTTTATAACCTCGGACCCAGGATTACCCTATTCTTATCAATGGTTATGACAGGAAACTGTGTAAAAGCAGATGTGTTTTCCTCTTCCAATTTCTTTTTTGACTATTTGTCTTTGAAACAAAAAAATGTATACCTCATCCTCAGGATTTTTTAGTCGTATTAGTTCCTCATCTATATGAAACATTCGCTCATTCATTTCTCGTTGCTCTGCATTTTGAAACAGCGCCCTCTCGCCCCGATTTTCCCAGTCAAAAGAATGTTTTACCCCAGTTTGTGTGAACAGCTTATTCTAAATGTGAAACAACAAATTGACAACAATATAACTAAGATGAGGTGTGAAAGTACAACAAAAAATATTTGTATTGATGACAATAAATTTAATGACAATAAAATCTAATACAGAACACATATTCTCTTTGAAAACATTAACTAAAACAAAATAAATTCCTTAACACTGTTCTTTGTCATCTATTCTTTTAACAAGCAAAGTAAATGGTGATTGAAATCAAATAAAATAATCTAAAATGTGTCTACTCAAACTTTAACACTGATAATTTTATAGCTACATTTGTATTTTCAGTATTTTGCACAAAAGTTAAAAAATGTAATACAATTCTAGACTCAAGTGCCTTTACTATGTGTCACTTCCTTTGCATATCACAAACATCGCAAATCACAAAACATGCATGCACTCTAAAAATCCAAGTTTATAACCACATGTTTTTTTTTATAATGTTCATCATGTTTTACCATGCTTATAAAGTTCTCATACACTTGAATGTAGCAAGTCACAAAAGATTTTGGCTGTTTTGCATTTTCATGAATTATCACAACAAAGACGTACAACATACACAAACGTGTCATTTTTTTCTAAATCTTCGAACAAGATATGATTCTACCTGAGGTAAATGACTCATCGAGGAAGAGGCGATTGACTGATAGTCGTCAGGCGGCATAATTTCCCGCAACCGAGAATCTATAGAAGTCAAGGAACGTAACTCTTCCTGATCCGGAACAAAACCTTCCCCAGGTCGGATAGCCAGCTCAAATGGATTATTCTCATCCTAGAAAAACAAGTGACACAAATACTGTAATGATTTTAATTAGGAACACAGAAATAAAAGCTAAGCCAGCAGGTGGTAAATGTTTCTACCCAAGTGACCAATGCAGAACAAGATCAGCTAGCACATCATGGTCTGCACTGTTCACTATTCAGTCAGTACATATTTTGAAATTTTCTTTGTTCTGTCCCGATTTAAAAATGGAAAAGTCCATTTAAGATATCAAGCGTGTTAAGGGAAAAAGCAGCATGACTGCAAATGCATGCATTTTTTTAAATATCATAGCACTTTTTCTTTTTAGTGAAAACTTTGTCAAGTGTACAAATATAATAGTTTAAGCTCTGCACAGGCAGTACATTTAAATATCTACAGAGAATATTTATACAGTGAGCCAAAATATGCGGCATAAGCATTTATAGATCCAATAAGTAACAAATAGATTTTATTTGGTTGGTTAAAAAGTAAATTCAGTCTACTAACCAGTGCAGCAGTATTTGGTATATCTGGAATATTTTCTACATCTTTAAGTAGATCATCTAATCTTTTCTTCTCCTCTTCTGTCATAGCTATAGCATTACTGGCATCTGCTGCCAACTGGTAACAGAACAAATAAAAAGTTTCCATAAATCTTTGAGTACACATAAAGCATATGTCAGTCCTTTAAACTTGTAAATATGTGAGTAAACACAAAGGAATCATCTGTCAGTCATGTAAAATTGTAAATACGGGAGTGTACACAAAGGAATCATCTGTCAAGTCATTTAAACTTAAAAAGAAAAATTTCTTATATTGTACTAAGGTAATTGCACTGGAGTTATTATGAACTATTATTATATTATTCAATAAAACAAGAATCAATGAAATTTTTTTACCTCTTTATTTCTTTTAATAAAGTCTTTCTTTCTTTTATTCTTATGTCTATGTTTTGATCCTTGAGTACTTCCACTAGCTACAGAGCTTGTATCTCCCTCACTGCCTGGTCTGTCACTTTCACCATGACTTCTATGGCTGGAGGCAGTCTGACCTATACATATACAAGAGCATGGTTAGTGGGATTAGAGTGTGGCGTTAAGGGTACCCAATTTTGACAAAAATTCTAAGTTAAAAAGAGACATAACTATACCAAAACTTAGTAATGCCCCTTGTCTAGCAACTGCACTTTGTCATGACAGGCAAGTATTCCAAGTTTCATGTTGATAACTTAAACTATGTTTGAATGATTGGCTACATTTCAGTTTTTGCACGACAACTACCATGACATCGACAACACAGTGATCAAAGTAGCTCGACTTTTTCTTCGAAACAGACAAGTAAAAATAATGCATAAGATTGCAAAAGGTTTCTGCATAAGATAAGCTGTAGCTTTCCTGGATAACAGTTTAAAGAAAGGCATAATCACAGGAAGAAAAGCAAGACAAACAAGATAGCACTGAGGTTGAAGGGAAAAAATGCACAATTCATGTACAATCAGTGTTAATATTGATTACTTGGAATAAAAACAATTTAAACAATCTTTATAATTATATGACATGGACACTTTCAAGTGAGTTGTTTAAAGGTAAAACACTGGTTCATGAAAATCAGTCATTTAAAGTTGATCTTCTACCTTTATCTTTAGTTATCAGATTTATTTGAAAATTCCGCATGGATGCTATATACCAAGATTTAGGTAAATGCTATTTGTGTCTGAGTAAACATGTTGATATAAAACCTAATCTATGATGATCTACTGTAAAATCATTATCATTCGTGGGGCACGGATTTTCGTGGTTTTCTTGGGTAGGTCAATCCACGAATTTAAGATCTGACGAACATTCATCCCAACAAATATTTCTTACCCTGTCTCTGTTCTATATATTACAAACATGTGTCGGCTCTTTTCCGGCCAATTTTCGTGAAATGGATGTATATACATAAATTACAGATAATTACAGATAATCAGGTTAGTGACAGATTAAATCCATTTGCAATATATAAGAAACTTGAAAGAAAACTCGATTATATGTCCTCAATTTAGATTCTACTGTCACAAATACACACTTGATTGTTGTTGATTGTGTTGACAAGAATACTTGACACAATCGAGTAAGTATAGGAACCCAGGCAATCCAATAATTAGCGCTTATAAAAAATGTCAGTTTGCTCTTATTAATTAAAAAAAAAAAGTCTTTGATTTTAATGTCGTAAGTACACAAAACTATAAAAAAAATACAATCGCTAAAACAGATGAATTGTACATTCTTTTGTCATTTTTAAATGATCCAGTTTAAATGAATTTTTATCTGTATTTGTGCAAATGCTATACCATTAACATCAAAGACGCCATCGACTTTTTCTAGATCCACACATACCCGTGTTATTTACTCAGATTAATTAATATGCATATAAACAGTCGCTGTTACGTTGCGTGTAGTTACTGTCAAATATGGCAAGACCAATTCAGGGTGTAAACTTTTTTTAACTCGCTGGTTAAAACGTGTCGGTTGTCGTATAAAATATGCGATGTTTACATTGGCGTATTACAGGGGCAGGGTGTCTAATGAAGGTGCATACCATGTCACATAAATGTGTTAATTGCAGCCAATTATAGGCAGTAATTGTGCCCAGAGGCATAAATTAAATTTATTGACAAGCGCTGTGTGACATGTAAAGATATGTACATGCTGTAAGTAAAAATGTTCAGCGATTAAGTTTAAGATTAATTTGCATTAGGTTACTCAATTTTTTTACAAGAAAATGAAAATCCACGAATTTAAGAACCCGTGAAAGTGCCCATTTTGATAAAACCACGAAATTTCATGCCCACGAATATAAGTGAATTTGCAGTATATTAAAAACTCACATGAACCATTGTTTCAGTGAGCTAAAACTGTAACAATTTGCATAAACATTCAAATTAACTCAAGTACATGTAGTCAAACAAAGAGAACTGTAATTAAGAGAAGATTTTTACATCACACAAACAAAACCAAACCAACCTTTTCTTGATTTATTTCCTCTATGAAGGCCAGGATATTCATCTTCATTAAGCTGGGTGGCAAAAACCTCTTCACCTGTAAACTCATCAGGTACTGTCACACCTGGAATTTATAACCATATCATATAATTACCATACTTTATATATATAAAACAAGAGCACCACTAGACGGAGCATTATATGCCCGAAAGTGATTTTTTATTTTTTAGTAAAAATGAAGCATTTTTAAGACATTGAAATTAAAAAAAAGTATTACCTCCTTCAAATAAGAATCCTCCTATGAATTTTGAATATTGTGGTCCAAATGGAACTTAAGTTATGCCCCGGAAACTGTTTTCAGTTTTAAGGTCATAGTGACCTTGACCTCTGACCTTGTGACCCCAAAATCAATAAAAGTCTTCTACCTAATATGGACAATCATCCTATGAATTTTGAATATTGTGGGCCAAATCGAACTTGAGTTATGCTCAAGAAACTGTTTTCAATTTCAAAGTAATAGTGACCTTGACCTTTGATCTTGAGACCCTAAAATCAATAGGGGTCTTCTACCCAATATAGACAATCATCCATTGAAGTTTGAACAATGTGGGCCAAATGGAACTTAAGTTATGCTCAAAAAACTGTTTTTAGTTTAAAAGTAATATTGACCTTGACCTTTGACCTTGTGACCCCGAAATCAATTCTTTCGGGCATATAAAAACACTATATTTTTGCAATCTTAATATAAGTGTAAACACTGCCTAAATTTCAAATACTTAGTACAAAGTCGAACATGGATTCTGCAAAAGAAAGAAGGGTAATACATGTAGGTTTTTTGTTTCTCTCCAAAATTACAATGATACTACAAAGCCTATTCTAAATGCTGTCTAAAATGCACTTCTTTAGATTTCAGACAAAAAAATCTTGTACATAGGGAACTGAAGGGTTTTTATTTTTACTTCTTATAATGTATATGCTTTCAAAGTATTCAAAATTTCTGCCAATGCAAACTTGTTAAATAACATATTCCGTTGGTTAAATTTAAGAGTATCTGTAACGAAATTTTGTCAAAACAATCAACACAATATCTTATATTTGACATCAAACTCACACCCAGATCAATAAAAAAAATGACTAACACACAAAAAGAGTGTAATTTTGAGTAGAAATAACCCCAAGTTGTTTACCTAGACACTGGAGATCATTTTGGTAACACTTCAAATACTAGGTGACTTTAGATTGTCTCAAAAACATTTTAAGTCCATCACAAAACAACACAGACTGTGTAAAAGAACTGTTATTTTGCTATTGTATACTATAAGCATACATGTCTAAATAAGGGATATGGAATAAAAGATATACATAAACTGACTGACTCATATATTTCTCAAAAGCAATTTTTTTTTCAGTAAAAACAATTTAGATTTTTTTCTTCACAAATAGTGAAGAAACATACACATGTATTTTGAACCTCCAGGCATCTTTTTCAACAAAAAGGACTAAAATATTTCTGAAGAAACTAACCTTCATTGTGCCTTTGAGGCAATTCTAAAGCCAAAAACTTGTGTTCGTTGTTTAATACTTCTTTATATTCATCTTTCTTTTCTTTGTTTATTTCTTCTATCTCTTTCCTCATTCTGAAAAGACAAAATGTAAAAATATGTTATATTAATATTCACATGTCATATAAAATGAAAAGTAAATCAGGAACTTTCCCGCCATTTTCAGAAAAGAACCTTAAGCCAACAATGTGGGGAATATATTATTGAGCTTATCACTGAAATTTAGATTTCCACAGCAACAAGAACTGTCAGTGTCAGTAGGACTATTCTCAGAGCTCAAAGTAAAATAAGAGACTGGATAATGTAGATTATTTTAAGTTCAAAAAGGGTATTATTCCAACAAAAACCATGTTTAGAGTTATAGGCCTTAGAGAGTGACCTAATATACTCTCAAATAAGTGTGTGAAGTTTCAACTCATTCCCTTCAGTAGTTTTGGAGATACCAACATGCATGCAAAAACTTAACCAAAATGTAATGCTGACGCCTAGGTTAGTGTAATAACTCTCCCTGTTTTACGAATAGTCTTGCTAATAAAAAAGAAAATGAAGAAACTATAAATCTTAACTTCATGACCAAGGCATGTTTATCCACAGAATTTTGTTTCACTTACTTTTTATTTTTATTCAATAAAACTTATGAACTGTTCATTCAACAATGCTTATGAGCCTTATGGCACAAATGATTTAAAATCAATGTTTATATACATATTTTAAGTTTCCATATTTAAATCCATGTTTATGGGCATTAATTCAAGCATAAATGGACAACAAAGTAGAACCAACCACAGGAGCTTGACATTCTATAAAAAAAAAGAAAAATATAAGCAAATAATTCATAAATAATGGCAAATATACCCCTCTTACAAATGAGCTCGAGGTGTTTCAATTTATTTCTTGTTTATTTTATTTGAATATATATACCAATTATTGATAGAATGTCAACTTGTCAAGCTCCTTGGAACCAACAACCTTTCACAACTTAGCTCCATTGTTCCTTTAGAGATTCCTACACACAGTGGTTAGGGACAAATGACTCAAATCGGCCCCCTTAACCATCTGGCCCGGCTTTCACCATAGAGCCCTTTGAATCCATTTCAAGGTACCAACTTTTTACCATAAAAAAATTGAAAATTGAATTAAACCTAATGAAAAGTTTTATCACGAACCTTCTTTCCAGTAAAATTCTATCCCTTTTAACCTCTTTTTCTCGTCTCACTCTCTTTGTAAGTATTTTATCAAGTTTTCGCATTTTTATAATAGCATTTCTAAGTTTTGGATCTAAGTTTTCCAGGTCTGTATGTAAGCCCCCTGTACTGTCTTTTCCCTGTTCTCCTTCTGTACCATCTAAAATAGAAATGCATAGACTTATATAAATATATATGTTGTGTCAATAGTATGTACATGTACATTTACATGTCTGTAAACAGAGAAAAAAAATATCTAATACATATTTTGTTTCTGAGATAAGTTATCAAATAAGTTATCATCACTTTAAAATCAGACGAGAATCACTTCCATACAAGTGGCAAACAATGCATATTGTGTGTTTGCTTGTTTTTTCAAGTTTTATACTGATATTTTTCTTATTTTATATACATTTTTTTGGTCATATCTAAGTAGTTGATACAGCTGACAGGCTTTCCTGGATAATTTAAGCCAGTTATAACCAATTTCTCTGCAAGTAACCGACTACTAACTTCACATGATTTCTGAATCAGTGGTGAGAGACAAATGACCATAAGACTCAATGTCAGAGTTCAATTGTCAGGGAGAAATTAACCTCTTCATATTGTGCTACATGTAGGTGGACAGACAAACACATATTGTAATTGTTTTAAATAAATTCATTGAACAATCATGGTATAATCATGATCTGACCATGAATGAAATTCTGAAGAAATATTACCCAAAATTAAATACTCTACAAAAACTTCCCAATGAAAACTACAGCTAGACTCTACTTCAATCTTCAACTGAGCTAAAAAATTATTCTTTTTGGGACTACAGACAAATTTCATGTGCTAAACATGATTTTGAAATGCTACTTTCCTGTTAATATGGAGACAATATTTTATTATGCAAATATTTATGAGGGTCAACAGAATCATAATCAAAGTGAGTATCTTATAGGAAAAAAAAGAAAGAAAAAATAATTTTTTGTTCAGGGTTTCAACTAAATTGTAACTAGTAAGTCAACTATTTTTGAAAATAATTTCAATTTCTCTGCTCCTGGCCAATTAAATTTTTATGTGCTTTCTAATGAACACTAATCTATACTTGTAGCTTTTAAACTTATACATTCATTAATTGCATTAAAACACAATGAAGCAAACCAGGTTTTCTTGATATTTGAAACCACAGCTGCTATGACATACATGCCTAAGACAAAATCTTTCTTTACTGTGAAAGGTAAAAAAGAATTTAATAAGTGCATTTACCAGCATTTCCTTCCAATTTCTTCAGTTTAGCTTTGTAAAGTTCTAACTCTGATTTCATCTCTTCCCTGACATTGTTGGTAATCTCATTACGGATTTCCTTCATTAGTTCATTTTCTTCTTCACTATCAAGATCTTCACCATCCTCTTCTATAATACAACAAAACTTCTCATGTAACATTCTCATTTTGTTGTAAATTTTAAGGTGAATTTAACTTAGTTCATTCAATGGGCAAAAAAGCATTGTTAATACATTGGAAATTTAACTCAAGGTTACTCCATTTATCATATAATGTATCTAAACAGTTTTAAGTAGTTCTACAAAATGAAGTTTAATAAAAACTGACACCAATTTATATTCAGACTTTATAAAGATACCTTCTTACTTTCTTACTGCAATTTTTAACAAGAGCTGTCGGTAGGACAGCACGCTCGACTATTCTAAGTGCTTGATAGTAAAAGAGCCTTGATAATGTTAAATTTTTTAAGGTCACAAAAGGGCTAATTTTTTTTTTATAAATTCATGTTATAGGCCTTAGAGAGAGTCTAATTATACGGTATTGGCTTGACTATTCGGAAGGTTACAAATGTCACAAGGGTGTTTTATTGAGTATAATAACACTTATTACCTATGAATACATAAATTTGACAGAAAAGGTACAAAGGCTTGTTATTAAGATGTTTTATCAAGTAAATCACTGCTTTATTATTATGAATGCATAAAATTGTCCCAAAAAAGGCACAAACCCTTCAGTAGTTATTGAGATAACAGCTTACAAGCAAAACTTTACCATGAATTTCTAAGTTGAAAAAGAGGAGAAAAATCAGCCTAAATGCAAGATAGAATTATGGATCTTTGTCAGTGACCTACAATTATGACCCTAAATGCATATGTGAAGTTTTAAATAAATATCTTTAATAGTTATTGAGATATGTAAAACTTGCATGTTAACATTAACCAAGAGACTAAGTAGAAAAGGGGATATGAATCAGCCTTAATGCAAGATAGAGTTATGGAACTTGGTCAGTGACATACAATTATAACCCTCCAATTATGACCCTAAGTGCATGTGTAAAGTTTCAAGTAAATATCTTTGAAGACCTTTAAACTTTAACAAAAATTTCTAAGTTTCAAAGGGGCAAATAATTCTGCAAATATTGCAGGCAGAGTTATGCAATTTTGCAAACTGATGTACATTGTTACTATAAAAAAGTATGTTAAATTTCAATTGAATATCTTAAGCAATAATTGAGATATTTGACTTTACAAAAAAACTTTAACCAAAATTTCTAAGTTCCAAAGGGGCATAATTCTGTCAATATTGTAGGCAGAGTTATCCAACTTGTCAATCTGATGTACCTTGTTACTATAAATAAGTATTGTTAGTTTCAATTGAATATCTCAAGCAATAATTGAGATATTTGACTTTACAAAAAACTTTAACCAAAATTTCTAAGTTAAAAAGGGGCATAATTCTGTCAATATTGTAGGCAGAGTTATCCAACTTGTCAATCTGATGTACCTTGTTACTATAAATAAGTATTTTAAGTTTCAATTGAATATCTCAAGCAATAATTGAGATATTTTACTTGACAAAAAACTTTAACCAACGAAGACGCCGACGCGGACGCGGGCGCGGACGCAGGGGCGACTACAATAGCTCTCATATTCTTCGAATAGTCGAGCTAAAAAATTAAAAAACATATTAAAATATTTTCAACAATAAATCTATACTTAAGAAAACGAGATGAATCAAGCTTTCTAGATTATCTTATAAAAGGAAACAAAGACTAGAATATCATAAAACAAACCACTTATGGGAATGAGTGACTGGCAATTGTTCATCCCAGTTGGTAGCGGAGTTCTTATCTGACCGTCTTCTGGGGCGTCCTGGGCAAGTTTACGCAGTTCATCATCTCTATCATCTGTGTCATCAAAACTCTCAAGGCTCTCATCATCGTCTTCATCATCAAGTTCTGATGAATCATACTCATCATCATCATCTTCATCATCATCAGAAAACATCATGATTTGCTGGAGATGGGCACGCAGGTCATAACCCTGTGAATAAATTTCAAGCAGTGTTTTTCCTAAACTTGAATGATACTGGACACTGACTGGATATATATTTTAAAATTGAAAATATTTGCTATTTCTTTGCTTCTGTAATGCATCTGTATTTACTAGTAACTTTATGGTAGGTGTTGCTATCTTAAGAGACCAAACAGGGAAATTATAAAATTAAGCATTCAGCATTTAAAGAGTCTGAAATGACTACAGGTCCCTGCATAGGTCAACTTTTTATAATCTTTAAAAATTAGATTGACTTAAATTGCAAGACAAGTACTACAACTTCTTTTTCATTTATAAATTTGTGTTTACCATCATTTTTATAATTCCCAAGGGCCCAATCAAGACTTGAATTTTGCACAAATATTAAGACGAATAAAGCAAAATTTGATAATGTATGCATCTTGATTTTGGAAAAATACTATTTTTTATCATTTTAAACATTTAAGAATAAGACATACCGTTATTGCTTCTGGTTTTGCAACATCTAAGCCATTTACAAAATCTGTTCGTGATTTGGTGACAGACTTTGACACAGAAGTTACTGACTTGCTGCTAGAGGCTCTACTATTGTCCACTGACTTCGTCAGAGTACTAGCTGAACTTGCTGGGGTAGACCGATTACTACCTGAAGCATTAGAACCTGTCTTCTTCTTTTTAAGATTCTTTTCCATCATTTCTGTTAATAATAAAACTTATTTATGATAATAAGGACATACTTGATTTCATTAAATATCAGGGAAAAAAATTTCATAACACTAAATTTATTGTGACAACTTATATAAGGTAAATGGGAACCCGGTGTAGATTAAAATCTATCAAATTGCTTCCAATCTATATGACTAGCCATGAAATCCTCAGGGTCATTTTGACTAAGTTTTACTCACCAGGGCTCATCCTGGGGGGAAATTTTAGGGAGAAGTGACTTCCTCGCGAAAATTAGGGAGAAGGGAAACAACCCAATGTATATGCATTAACATGCATGGCTATACATCCTTATAATATAAACACAATTAACATCACTTATAATATTTCTCCAGTTTATTAATAAATAGTAGATTAATTAATAGTAGTATTAATTAAAAGTAGATTAATTAGTAGTAGATCTGGCAATGGCATCTAAATGTTTTTGAGCTGCAAATATGAATATAAAAAATTATTTTTGATATCTATTGATCAGCTATTTATAAGCTTTCTCTAAATATGTGTTTATATATATTTTCATGTACATTTGTAAGAAAAGATATGATGATATAATCAATTTCATATTTTTTCTTTCCTCACTTTTATTAGAAGATGAAGTCACCTTGGATATTGATTAATAAAATCTGTTCTATTCTGTTCTGGTAACAGAAATTTCTTTGAAAATCCTCAATGTTGTAATGTCAGATTTATATGCATATAATTATGCTTATAAAACAATTTTCAAACATCAAAGAATATGTAAAATATGTATTGCAAACATTTGTGCACATTATATTTGATCACTAAAATTACATATATTCATTTCTTATTGAAAATTTTGACTGAGAAATTGTAGAAAATTAATTTCTAATTACCTCCCTTTATTTTCATGAAATGTTAAATTCGGTAATATCTTTATAAATAATGCTTTTTAGAATTTACAATATTGATAAATCTTAACCTGAGCGTCATATTTACGACATTAAAACAAATATGTATATTGAAACAGTAAGAACTCTTCTTCTTGACAAATTTTGTTGTTATATACGTTACATGATATACGACCAATATGTAGTTTAGCCATATGTAGTTTAGCCGGGATGTCTTGCCCACGTGCGTAAACTGTGTCAAATTTGTAAACAATGCCAAACACCCCCACTGTCTACAACATACCAATCGCAAGATTTTTGCGAAATGGTTTTCTTAAATTTTCGCATAGGTGTATCAGAATCAGTAACTTTCTTTTACTGCTATGTTTGGGCATTTCGCCCTGTAGCCATGACGTGAGCGACATAACAATTTTACAGTAAAAAATTGATGTTAACAGACTGAAATCATTCAAAACTATGATTAAGCTTTTAATCCGGTCGAAATTGATTATTTTTAATTGACTAACAGTTTTGTGATAGCCGTGAAAATATCATTGCACATCGCCTTTACTCGGGTTAAAAACCCACCATCGAAGTGCATCGTGTATATCAATTAGGGAAGATTGCACGTGTTTAGATAACCGGGGAAAAAACAATGTATAATTATCGCCAAATCCCGTATAAACACACAATTATACCGTTTCGGGCCGATGCTCTCATTATTTACTGTTTAGAGTAGGCGGTCTATCGCTTCGCTTACAGGTAGAAGGGTAGTATAAAGCGACGCTCTGATTGGATAATGATAATTAGCGGTCGTCATATGGGCGGATACAATCTCTGCTCTTTACATCGCTAAGTAATTACTATTTGGGAATTAAGATTTTATCGGCGATGTTGACTTCTCTTTGATCAATCGGAAGAGCGAAATTGGAATATACACGGCGAAGTTTTCGCCTGAATCGCCCTTCCGGATGAGCCCTGCTCACTTCAAGGTCAAATCCCCATGATTTTAACAAAATTTGACCCTCCAGTTCAAATCCTGAGGGTCAAATCAGGTCTTTTGGAAATTTGAAGGGTCAAAGAGTCATTTCAAGGGTCAAACGGACACCCTGTAAATATATGTGCTTGACTCAGAAGTCTACAGAAGTAATATTCAAAAAGTGATCATTAAATATGTGACTTTTACTTTTCTTCATCTTCATATTATTTATGCCACAGTCTTTTAATTCATTTCAGATTATGAGTTAGTTTATAAAAAATTATTTTAGTTTGATTGTGTTGGAAGCTATAAGCTTATTGAAACACTGTGGAATCCATTCCTGGAAACAACCAGTACTAAGCAATGATTATGTAAAGTTTCTTGCTCAAGGAAACAATGGCTTGTCGCTGACAGGGTTTGAGCCATCACGGCCAGCAATCTTTAGATAACTAGTCCAATACATTAACCTCTTAGCCACGCTGCCATTATGTGTTGACACTATAGTTAAAAAATCATTTGATTTAACTTAACAGTACATCAAATGAAAAACCAAAATTTATCAGTCCTGAAATGCAAATAAAATTCTTCTTGCCAGACTTCCCAAAATATGTCGGTCCGACGGACATGTCCGATAAATTTTGATTAGGTCCGACGTTTTTTTTTCCAGATCGGTCTGACTGTCCGGCTTTTATCCCAGTAGCATGTATACAAAATGGGGGCACTAAACAGATGCCAAACCTGGGAAAAAACGTAAATCTCCGTCAGAGGAGTGCCCAGAACAGCAATAAAAGATGAAAGAAAAGAATAAACCTGAGACAAAATTTAATGAAAAATGGAAGCAGGACCGTGAATTTTTAGTGTATGACAATTTCCTACCTATAACACTCGCGAGAGGGGTTGGCAGTACTCAGAGATAGATAGATAGATTATTAAGATAGAGATGAAAATTGCGCTGTACAGACTGTGCTTATTGTACGGCGAAAAAATTAATACCGAAAAGTTTCCCTTTGAATTTGATTAATTTTATTCGGTCCGACAGATTTCATTTCTGTCCGACAGATTTTCATGGTTTGTCAGACCGTATGGCCAACACTTTTTTTAAACTTTCAGGAAGTCTGCTTGCAAAAGCGAAATCAATTCAAATTACACAGTTTTTAAACTGCTTGTTTTCCTACGATTTCTAGCAAATGTCATTACAATAAAAAACAACAACTTATCTATATTTTTTTGTTTAATTTTAAAATAATGTCAATCAGCAAGTTCGATTTAATAGGATTAATAGGAACATTCTGCACAATCCGATCATCATTGATCAATTAGATATATAAACAACTTGTCTTCACCATGATCAACGGTTAGAATATTTCAAATTTTAATCAACTATGTATGAATAGCAGTTTTAGTCATATAGTTGACATAATTTCCATGGTGACAGAATAGAACATTTCATTAAACATGGTTTTCACTTTGACGATCACCCGATTAAACATTTCTCATTAATATTTAAGTTAAATTATCTTAAAATTATTTGTTTTAGTACATATAGATAAGCAAATGCATCAGAAAACTTACCAGAATCACGTATTTCCAATCTTAATTTTCTTGATATTCTTCCATATTGGAATTTATAGATTGGTTCCCCCGTTTGTCGTTGAACGCTTGATGAAGGCAAAACCAATCATAACTTCCGGCAAACTATTTTCCGTTATTAACGTAACTCAACCGTACAATATAGACGGACCTAAATAAAATACGGTCACAAAACGTGATTCATTTTCATTAACTTTTATATCATGTACATTTATGATTTGATGAAATCAAACAACTAATTCAAAAGATTTTTCATGAGTAAATATAATAGAAAGCATAAAAAATTTCTTCTGTCAATGTTTAAACCAAGTTTTTTGTTCTTTTTTGTCGGTTTTAACATCACACCAACACAGTTTATTAGGTCATATGATGATTTTGTACATGGTACCCCTAGTCTAAAAGCACGCTCCACTGATTTCATCTTCATAAAAAAACATCTGCAAATGAATTTTATATTAAAGTGACATTATGCTCATTTTTCCATTGTCAAGTTGACCTGAATAGACTATAATTATATTTCAAAAGATTGACTGATATAATGGTGATTGGCCAACAGCTGGTATTGAAAAATGTTAAAATATAATATAAATCTGTCTAAGATATAAAAAGACTGCCCCACTCTTTTTCTAAATAAAAGGTTACAGTTGAATTCTGATTGATATTTACAGAAATTTCCTTGAGCTATGTCATGTATGTCAGTAATATATATATATGTCAATGCAAAGTAAAAAATTATAAAACTGAAAGTAGTTATGGCAAAATGTAAACTTATTTTGACTTTCAATTGTTAACTCACTATATATATACCATCAGATGGGCATAATGTCATGATAAGAAAATGCAAAACCTTAGTAAAGGGATTTGACATTGCTTTTCAAATTAAGTGACTTCAAAATGGAGTTTTGTTATAATGATACAATCTTTCTCTTTTATCTATTTTGCAGCAAAATATACATGTAGATCTTGATCACTATGTACAACATTATAAAATATGTTCTTTAAAACTACAGGATTAAATATGAAACTCGGATATCTTTTAGAGAGAAAAGTTAGACAACTCCCATTGATAATAAAAGTTTTAAAATTGGATTTGTCTTCCTTTACATTCTTTAAATATGAATTACAATATAACTCAAAAAATATATTTTTTCTTTTGAATTATCCATAAGTAACATATATACAATCTAAATTAAGAATAAAAAATAAAATAAGATAACAGACAAACAAAATTTGAGGAATCATGAAAAATTCATGACTTAAATTGTATTCATTTAATCAATAACAGAAATTTAACAATTATCCTGTAACCTTAGTCTGATGATGGCAACTGAATTAATCTATGTAACCAGTGTGGAACAAAATTGTAGTTTTCAGATTTGTGTATTTTTCTAATACAGAAATAACTCTATATAATATTATATATGTATACAAATATTACGAAGTTCTGAAGGAAATTAATAGGAAGAACACAGATGTGAATTAATCTAGTTTAATCTAAGAACTGACCTCGAGGTTATAAAACTTTTATCTGAGATCTGCCTTGAATTTAAGGATTTTCATTGATTTACATTCTCTGTTGGTTTCTGACCAATGAAATACCTGAGATCTGTTTTTTGTGCTTATTAAAATTTTTTATAACTGTGGACCCTGGTCTATAGCGGGAATCACCTGTCTAATATAAGGAGCTGCCCATTCAGGCATTCATTGAATAATATCATACTAACCGATATAAAGGTCAAAGTTAATGTGTCATGTTTAACTGATATCATTACATTTCCCTCTCTTTCAATAAATATTCAAATTGTTTACTTGTAACTGTTTTAAATATCAATAAGCATGCCAGCGTGTTCTGCTATATCTGATCATAGTTTTTACTAGCTGTTCATTATTTAGTTGGTATACATTTTCCCTGGTTTTGCTTCCAGATTCATAGATGGAAAAGTTCATTTCAGATATTTAAGCAGGTAAACAGATTAATTTTGCATCAAGCCATTACCCCTTTGATATTTTGTAATACCCCTGCCCAGGTTTTGAATTTGGGACTGCTAAGTAGAAGTGGCATCAAAACATGATAAGCATGCAGGCAACAGTATATAGGACCTTACACATCAGACTTCCTAAATGAAGAAGCAATCCCAGGGCTCTTGAATTTTTGACTGGTTGAATAAACAAATTGCTTAAGCTGCTTAAACATTAAAATGCCATGACTTGTATTCCCTATAGAACTCCTATTACGTATTCTTTACAGTACATTTAATAAGTTACATCAATACTAAATTAAGTCCTTCCCACAGAATGTTACATGATGTGGATCTTAATGTATCTTTGAGTGTATGAAGTATGATTTATTGACATTATCAGAGTGGGAAATATTATCAAGTGAAAAAATTAAAACAATCTTTTTTTTTTTTATTGTGAATTAACATAACATGAAATTAAAGGATAATTAATAATGCACAAATTGTAAATGAGAAGGGAACATTTTAATAGAACTTTTTATATATTTTATATAAAAGCATGAAAAAACGTCTTTTTAAAATGCAAAAATGGAATTGTGCTTAGTGGGTGAACTTATGTGGAATATAAAGAAATTTTGATTAGTTATCACAAATTTGGTTCTTGTTGTTATTGTTTTTAGACTAATCATGTTACAAACAGTTTCATAATGCATGTGCATGTTATTCTGTTGTGTTGTGCTATATTACAAACGAAGCAAATTGAAGGTAAGTCTTAAATATTTTAACATACTCTGTGTTAAATGCCTCATGCATGTTTTATACAGGCAAACTTGTTATGTGTTATGTCTGGCAAAACCTTTGCAAATGTTTTATATCTGTCACCATCAAACTTGTGGAATTGTCTTATTTATCAATGTATCGGGTTATCTTAGCTGGAATACCGAGATTGTCTCTAAATTGAGCAGGTTCAGTCCTAGAAGTCTAAATGCTTTTCTGTTATTTCTTTTATTAAAAAAAAAAATCCATAATATGATGCTCTCTGACATTCTTTACTGAGATTTTTATTATACTTGGTGCAAGTGTTTATGTAAGTTGGGGTGGTGAGGAATTATCATAGAATGACTGTTTTTGTTACAAGTATAAATGTAGCAGTGAAATATATTTAATAATTTTAGTAAAATTATTAAAATATAATTTCACTGTAGCCAACTTATATTTAAATGTGGAAGATGGCATGTAGATATGTATGTATTATATATGAATCAAACTTTCAGCAGAAGTACATTCAATATTGTACGTTTCGTAATTACTTAAGGCATATAAATGTTTATTATCATGAACTATAGTAAAATAATTATTATATAATTTGATCTGTTTCAGGCTCTTTGGCTACATTGAGCAATGACTCAAACTGTTTTGATGGAGACAAAAATTGCACTGATGGTGAGAGAAGAAATGAAAATACCTCACAAGAAACTCTAGCTCAAGAACATACACTTCATTTTACAAAGCAGACAAATGGGTATGGACATTAAACATAATCTTTTATTGTTGTTACTGACTCATAACATATACCAGCTATGTTCCCTATTTCCTTTGAACACATTTCTTATTGTATTATAATGGCATTCTTTTGTGCCAGAAAATATACACACACTTGCACCATAAAATATATACGCATTTGTGCCAGAAAATATACACATATTGGTGCCAAAAAATAAACGTGCATTTGTGCCAGAAAATATACACATACACAAATTTAGCCAATTCTTATGGTTGTCCATTACATTTTTAAAGCTAAAAAGTGATCATGTGACCAAAATAATGACCTCTGTGATACCATTTATTTAAACACCTGCACATTGTTTGCTTTCTATGCAAAAAGAAAATTAAAAAATTAGGGCGTTTAAAATCAGGTTACTGCCTGAGAGTATGTTATTAATAAAAAAGTAGTCATATCAACAGAAAAAAATTATTTTAACCTCTAGCCTACTGGTGCTACCCTTGTCAACAGTGCAGACCAAAGTCAGCGATCATGGCCAGCACTGTTTGCTATTCAGTCAGTACATAATTTGAAAATTTCCCCAAAAATGATTAATGGTTTTGTCCAAATCAAGATTGGCAAGTCCATTTCAAATGTTGGTAAAAAAATAAAAAATTCAACTGTTAATAACAATTTTTATTTTCATTTTATAGCGATGAAAGGTTCAAGATGACAAGATTGTTGGATGTGGCACAAATGGTTTCTGTACTCACTGGACACAACATAAAGAATCTGTTTTCAAAGTTAATTATTACATACAACAACTTGTTAAATACCTACTCAAAACAAGCAACAGTAATAGCTCAGCATATGGCTGCAATTAACTTTAAATTGAAAAAACTGGAGCAAGATTTAAACACTTTGTGTGCAGATTTAGCTCAAAAATATGAAACGTCCAAACCCGATATAAAGTTTGCTGTGAAAATATTATTAACTAAAGCATTAGCTGAAAGAGAACTTGTCTATAAAAGGAGAATCTCCGAGTACAGGGTTCTACAGTGCGACAGGATAATGGGGATGTATTGTGAAACTGACCAAGATTGCGTGTGTTACGGATGTGGTTGTACATTACTATGCAAGAAATCCGGAATTTTCTGGTGGAAGAAGAGCGTTTGCAGATGAAAACAGATATCTGTGCCAGTTTTTTTTTTTCGATGTTAATTTTGACAAAATTGAACGTTTTCATTTAGAAATCATCATTCAAATTTCTATGAAATTTCGCTTGGTAATGGGGTATCCATCAATAAACCAATAAAAGAATAACCACTTGTTCCATCTTAAGTTGGGTTAGTACTTAATCTGCTGGATTTCTTAAAAGGACTTGTCAAGCCTCAATTTTTTAAACTATCCATTATCAATTTAGGGCCTATCAAGTAGTGAAAATACATTAAGACAGTCACCAGTAAAGCACCTGGCTGGCAGAAGACACTTTTTCAAGATTTAAGGATGTTACAAATATTGAATAGATTAAAGACAGCCATCAATAATAAAAAAATTGTCTAGAAACAAGCAAAAAGTATGGGAACAATGTGATAATACACATTTTTTTTTTAAATTTATACACATTTTAGTTGATATTTTTTCAGTAAAGTTTCAATAGAACCGAAAAGCTTAATTGGTAACTTCAATTTATAAAATAATTGACTGTCAAAAATGGGATACAAATATTCATGAACTGCCATAATAGAAATAAGCAACCACATCTAGCCCAGATATAAAGTCTATTGTGAAAATTTACTATCAAAAGTCTCAATGTCAAAAATGGGATTCAAACATTCATGTACTGCCATAATAGAAATAAGCAACCTCAATCACATCTAGCCCAGATATAAAGTCTATTGTGAAAATTTTACTGTCAAAAGTCTCAACTACTAACAAGAAATACTCAAAAAAAATATCCCTGTACAATGTACAAAGTCTTGAAGGGCTAGTGGATAATAAAAACATAAAAATAAAATGTTTTTTTTTTTACTTTTTAGACTTTAATACCAATTCTTTAACAAAACTGATAGGGTCAATCACAGTTCAATTTCACGATGATTAATTAAGTCTTTCCGAATTATCTAGGTCACTAGGTCACACATTCCTCCGTATCTATAGTTTTTGGCCAATCCAATTCAACAGCCTGAAAAAGATGTACAATAATCTTCAAACTGTATACATGTGATAAAATCAAATGAAGGAAAGTGGTGGTCTTGTGGATTAAGGTGTCTGCCACTTAAGCCAGGTATTGTGAGCTCAAGCCCTACTAGGGTCACAACTAACTTTTCCTCATATGATACCAGTACTGGTTAGTTCAAGGAACTGTACATCAAGAGCTAATTCAAATAATGATTCCTTTTCAATCGTTCTTCAATAAATAACATTTTAATCCTGATGAACAGGTCAGTGGTTGACCGAAACAGGTCAAAAAAAATTAATCACATAAACCCACTTTGATGACCTTGACCTGTAGTTCATCTTTATTTCCTTGTTTACATAGTTTAAACAAAAAATGGTCAAACTAAGAACAAAATTATTGTTTCTTGTTGTTTTTTTTAAATCAACATTTCCTTGTTTTTTCATGTTTTTTATTTTATCAACATTTCCTTGCTTTTCAAGATTTTTTCAACTCAAAGTTATTTAATTTTTAAAACAAGAGCCATGTCAACATGGCCATCCTCCGCTGAATTTGTTTGCTCATTGGAAGAATGTATATGTAGTAGAGCGGAATATTTCCATTTTAGGAGGTCTTTTGGTAATGAAAACTGATGGCTATAGTGATAGCAGATTTGAAACCTATGTGAATACTGATGGCTGAAAATAACAAAGGGCAATTACTGAAAAATAATGCAGGGTAGTTTATCATTCTTGTGTGCTGCATCCCTCCTCAGTAAAATCTATCCACCTATGAAGTTTCAAGTTGATACCTCAAATACTTTTTGAGAAAAAAATTGAATTGAAAAATTAAGTATGAAAAAGAACAAAGGGCAATAACTCAAAAATTATAAAAGGTAGAGTTATCATTCTTGTGCAGTGCACACCTCCTGAGTGAGATCTATGCACCTATGAAGTTTCATTTTGATATCTCAAAGGCTTTTTGAGTTATGCTCTGGACAAAAATTAATTTTGAAAAATAACAAAGGGCAATAACTCAAAAATAATGCAGGGTAGAGTTATCATTCTTAAGCACTGCACTCCTCCTCAATGAGATCCATCCACCTTTGAAGTTTCAAGTTGATACCTCAAATACTTTTTGAGATAAGCTCTGGACAAAATAGCATAAAAAAACAAAGGGCAATAACTCAAAAATTGTATAGGGAAGAGTTATCATTCTTGCGCACAACATTCCTCCTCAATAAGATCTATTCACCTATGACATTTCATGTTGATATCTCAAACACTTTTTGAGTTATGTTCCACTCAGGTGAAAAATTAGGTATGAAAAATAACAAAAGGCAATAACTCAAAAATTATGAAAGGTAGAGTTATCATTCTTGTGCACTGCACATCTCCTGAGTGAGATCTATGCACCTATGAAGTTTCATGTTAATATCTGATAGGCTTTTGGAGTTATGCTCTGGACAAAAATCAATTTTGAAAAATAACAAAGGGCAATAACTCAAAAATCATGCAAGGTAGAGTTATCATTCTTGTGCACTGCACTCCTCCTCAATGAGGTCTATCCACCTATGAAGTTTCAAGTTGATAACTCAAATACTTTTAGAGATATGCTCCGGACAAAAATGTCGAACGGAAGGAACGAAATTTTTCGGCGGGGGATAATAAGCAGTCTTCAGTATCACATTAAGTTAACACAGGTAATTGTTCTAAAAATTGTATATTTGAAATTAATTAGTATCATTATATTTGCTATGTATAGGTTGAGAAAACCAATAAATATCATTTTGCATAACTGTCCTACCAAGAAATTTGATTTGATAAGTACATCTTGTTTCTTTTGTCACTGCTGTTTATTTGTTGTTGTTTTTTTTTATAACAAACTTCATTAGGGCTTCAAAGATAACCCTGATTTTAACATGATTATTCACTTGATGATAGACTATGATTGCTAAAAATTACTAAAAAGGATAGTTATGCATAAATAACAAGAGCCACCGCCGGGCGGGGGCCTTGCTAGATTTTTTGCTCCATAAATAATCGACAATAGTCAGAAAAATATTATCATAATTTAGATAAAACTAGAACTTCGCGGGTCGGATGTGTAGCCTTGTGAACAATATAGTTTAGGAGAAATGGCCACAACACTAATGAAATTTGAAAATCAACAAAGGGCAATAACTCAAAAAATCAGAAATGCAGAGTACCAGTTCTTGTGCACTGCACTTTTTCTTAATGTGATCTATCATCCTATGAAGTTTCATGTCCATAGCTTTTATACTTTAGGAGAAATGGCCCGGACAAAAATAAAGTACGAAAATTAACAAAGGGCAATAACTCATAAAATAAGAAATGCAGAGTTCCAGTTCTTGAGTACTGCACTTCTTCTTAATAAGATCTATCATCCTATGAAGTTTCATGTCCATAGCTTTTATACTTTAGGAGAAATGGCCCGGACAAAAATAAAGTATGAAAATTAACAAAGGGCAATAACTCAAAAAATAAGAAATGCCGAGTACCAGTTCTTGTGCACTGCACTTCTTCTTAATAAGATCTATCATCCTATGAAGTTTCATGTCCATAGCTTTTATACTTTAGGAGAAATGGCCCGGAAAAAAATAAAGTTTGAAAATTAACAATGGGCAATAACTTAAAAAATAAGAAGTGCAGAGTACCCATTCTTGTGCACTGCACTTCGAGTCATTATTAGAAGCATGCATACCAAGTTTGAAGTCAATCCAACTGATAATGACTGACTTATGCTCCGGACAAGCTTTAGGGGCGCCAACGCCTATAACGACGACGACAATGACGCCGACACCGCCAACAAAAGTAACCCCTATATGTCGCCTTTTTCAAGGCGACACAAAAATAAATACATATGCACCAATTGTCATTTTATGCATAAATCAATGAAAATTCAAAAATTAAACTTTCAAGGTCAAGGTCATAAAGAGCCAAGGTCAATTTAAGTTTGAGAAACATGAAGGTCTTGTCTTGTCCTTAAGAATGTTCTGTTATAATATGAAGTAAATCCATTCAATAATAGCAAAGTTAAAGCCAGTAACAGCCAAAAATTTTTGAAAATTTCAATAATTTGACCTTCAAAGTCAAGGTCATTTATGAGTGAAGGTCAAGGTCTGTCTGTTTATTTTAAAGGGCTATCCTTGAAGATTATTATGTTCAAGTTTGAAGACAATCCATTCAAAAATAACAAAGTTACAGCCAATAATAGCAAGAACAAGCAAAATTAGGACATTTGACATTGAAAGGTCATTTATGGATGAAGGTCAAGGTTAGTGTGGTCTACTGAAAAGTCTTGTCTCAAGGGTTGTTGTGGCCAAGTATGAAGATAATACACCAACAAATAAAAAAGTTATGATCCAGGTACAGGTTTGCAGAAGGCAATGGCAACAGCAATGTCGCCAGGACTATAACAATACCTCTACTTTTTCTTTCAAAAAAAAAAAAAAAAAAAAATCGAACTTAAAATTACTCTAGTAGCATACAGGTTTATTTAAGTTTAATGTTGTCAACCTTTTGCACTTTTTGAAAATATGCAAGTTTGATCCATTTCAATCAAGAACTTGCAAAATATGTTAACAGCTGTACAGCTGCATCTGTATAATAAGTTTTACTGCACAAATATTTTCTGTTCGCTTAACAACCATAATTATCCTCACAATTCAATTAACTTTTACAATCATCAATCTAGTAACATATGTGGAAATAGAAATGTTTTATACCAGATTTGTTTGTAAAACATGATTGTATGCCCACTATCGGCAGTCAATTAGTCATGTGGCGAGGTAATTGTGACTGACATTTGACCTAATGACCAAAAAAAATAGGGGTTATTTACTGGTCATGACTAGTAACTAAGTCATCGTGACCGTGCAGCAATTTTATGACAAAGTTACCACAAATCTTACCAAATTATATATGGATAAATTTTATGAATCATGTAGGATTTTGAAATGTGTGTAACAAAAGCATGAACCTGTGAAGTTTTAAGGTAAATGGCCCATGAGTTGTTGAGATATTGATCAGAAAACGTTTTTACATATAAGGTCAATGTGATACTTGACCCCAAAAATCCATTGATCATCTTCTGATCAAAGCAATGCATTGTGAAATTTGATGGTCAAGGGTCCATGGGTTGTCGAGTTATTGATAGGGAACTGTTTTTAAATACAAGGTCAATGTGACCTTACCTTGACTTCTTGACCCCAAAATCAATAGGGGTCATCCACTGGCAATGCATTGTGAAATTTGATGGTCAAGGGTCCATGGGTTGTCGAGTTATTGATAGGGAACTGTTTTTAAATACAAGGTCAATGTGACCTTACCTTGACTTCTTGACCCCAAAATCAATAGGGGTCATCCACTGGCCAAGACCAATGCACCTATGAAGTTTGAAGGCCAAGGGCCCATGAGTTGTCAAGTTATTGATCGGAAACCATTTTGACATTCAAGGTCAATTTGACCTTGACCTTTGACCTAAAGGCCCCAAAAACAATAAGGGTCATCTTCTGGTCATGAACAATCCCCATAACAAATTTGAAGTTCCTAAGCCTAAGCGTTCTTTAGTTATTGATCAGAAACCATTTGGTCTACGGACCAACCGACCGATCGATAGACAAATGCAAAGCAATATACCCCCACTTATTTGAAGGGGGGCATAATTATTTATCATTATAGTTTAACTGTATTATAATTATTAAGCTTTTGAATGTTTCAATCCGGACAAAACAATTCATATTTAAGGGAAATTTTAAAATATGTACTGATTGATGATTACTGACAAACAGTGCAGACCATGTTCAGACAACATGGACATGCTGGCTCATTTTGGTCCGCACTGGTGGCACGGGTAATTCAGTTGCCACTAAAGTAGGCAAATAGATATAAATTTAATGCACATTTCCTATAAAAAAAGTTATAGCATAGTTGTATGATGATTTTAACAGCATTGGACAGTGGTTATAGCATGGTATTAGTGATTATAGCATGGTTGTACAGCGG